TTGAAAACCACTTGGTTAGTTCGGACGCCAAAAACCAACGCCGAAAACCGAATGCCGAACGCCGGTTTCTGAAACCTGAACGCCGGATGGCTTGATTTTTGGTTTGGGCGAACACCAAGTGTTTTTAATGTTTTAAACATGTTTGAAAAACATTTTTATGATGTGTGAAATGCAATGAAAAGAATTTTAGCCTAAAGAGCCAAGGTGTAAAGGTTGGGTCGGTCTTGATCACAATTATGACCGACTCAACAACACTAAGACTACGGTCTTCGTTCTTGGTCTTCTTTTGGGTCTTGTTCTCTTGCTTTCTTCTTATATTTATTTCTCGCCTTGTATATTCAATAACTTGTCTTGTTCACGGCGGTTTGGCATTATCAAAACCTGTCATAAAAACGAACACGGCTTTAGTACGAAAACACGATAAACCCGTGTTTCAACACAAATGACAACTTGATGGTGATGATACACAATTTATTCCTACAACTATGATGGAGCATGACCTAATTAATTGATAAATGAACAATTCATATTTTCTTAACAGTTTTATTATTATTTTATTATAAATTCTTTATATTTATTTATATTAAACTGTAATATGTATTTTGTGCATAACGTTTTACACATAAGTCCAAACTTTATGCTGCTGCTTACCTTTTTAGAAGAAGAGTAGTAAAGAATTAATTGATAAATGAACAATTCATATTTTCTTAACTGTTTTATTATTATTTTATTATAAATTCTTTATATTTATTTATATTAAACTGTAATATGTATTTTGTGCATAACGTTTTACACATAAGTCCAAACTTTATACTACTGCTTACCTTTTTACAAGATCTACCCAATTACCTAAATTTCAAATAAAAAGGTCAACTTTACAAATAGCTCATATTTTTTATTCAGAAAATATTATACTTATTTTTATAAAAATAACAACTAACTACTAAGCCAATTTTCAAGGTGTTACATATGAAACCAAATTAAATCCGAACAAAAATTGAAACGAATCGATCGGAACAGAATCGATTATAACAGATATCTGAATTGAATTATTCAAAACTAGAGCCGAAAATGCTATGGTGTGATGTATTAATGATAGATTGATGAATGTGATAGGACAAAAAAATGAACGCGGATATTTAATTCAAAAATAACATATATGCAAAAAATACTCAAACGGAAATGTATTTGAACTGAAATATGTCAAAACAAAAATGTTTTCAAAATCGAAATCGATCCAAATCGATTAACATCCAAATCTTTTCTAAATTGTATCGAACCAGAATTAAAAAAATATATATGAAGTCAAATTAAATTCAAACCAAAATAGAACCGAACCAATCTGAACAGAATCGATTATAACATATATCTAAATATAATTATTCCAAACTAGAACTGGCCCGGTTGACCAAATTATCACCTCTAGATAAAAATAAAATAATCAGTTTTGGATTTTTTTAGATTTTAAAAAGTTACCTTTTTACGAGATCTATCCAATTACCTAATTTTCAAATAAAAAGGTCAACTTTACAAATAGCTCGTATTTTTTATTCAGAAAATACTACCCCCATCTCAGAGTATTTGTCCACTTTCATTTTTACACACCATCCAATACACTTCTTTAATCCATTTTATCTTGTAATTTGTATATTAAAAAATTATAGAAATTATATATTAATAATCTATATGTTAAGACAAATCAAACAAGATCACACATGATTATATTTAGACTTACACATTGAGAGAATTTGATGAGTCAAAGTGCTTAGATGAACAGTTCCAAAAGTCAAAACTGGACGAATACTCCGGGACGGAGGGAGTATTATATTTATTTTTATAAAAATAACAACTAACTACTAAGCCAATTTTCAGGGCGTTACATATGAAACCAAATTAAATCCGAACAAAAATTGAAATGAATCGATCGGAACAGAATCGATTATAACATATATCTGAATTGAATTATTCCAAACTAGAACTGAAAATGATATGGTGTGATGTATTGATGATAGATTGATAAATGCAATACAACAATAAAATGAACGCGGATATTTAATTCAAAAATAACATATATGCAAAATTGATTGACATCCAAATTGTATCTAAATTGTATCGAACCAGAATTGAAAGAATATATATGAAGTCAAACTAAATTCAAACCAAAATAGAACCGAACCAATCTGAACAGAATCGATTATAACATATATCTAAATTGAATTATTCCAAACTAGAACTGATCCGGTTGACTAAATTATCACCTCTAGATAAAAATAAAACCATCAGTTTTGGATTTTTTTGATTTCAAAAAGTTAGTGGATTTGAAAAATTTATAGAGTCATGTAGAGTTTGGTTGATTTTTTGTAGAATCCATGTAGAGTGAGAAAAATTTATAGAATCCATCTAGAGTTTGAAAAATATGTGTGTAGAATTTTTGCACCTTCTCCGTTTGGCCACACAAAGAGAAAGATAAGACCTCCATCATAAACCAGGCGAAGGAAGCTCTAGGGTTTATAGAAATTATCTGGAAAAGAATAAAATAAAAGTAAGATTTTAAATTGCCCATGCAAAGATAGATCAATAAATCGATCAAGATATGGGAGTTTTAGGGGTTACTCAGCGCCGCCGTTTCCGCCGCAATGTTCTTTACCCCCGCCGTCAACACGTTCATGGCTACAACTTGGTCGCCGGTGAGGACAGTGCCAGAGAGCACGACTGAATCCGAGATGAAAGGCGGGCGAGTCTCTCTCCTTTTGAAGTCCATAGAAATCTGAGGATGTGAGAAGAAATTTCTAGGAGTGAAAATGTAAACATTTTTTGGATGAAAATCCAACAAAATCCATAGAGTATTAAAATTCATAGATTTTCGAATACCTCAAAATTTTTAATAGGGATGACAATTCAACCCGAACCCGAGCTTAACCGACCCGACCGACTACTAAAATATCCGAACCCGAACCGAAAATAAACTAATCCGAACCCGACCCGAAATTTTTTACCCGAACCCGACATCGGGTCGGGTCGGGTGTGGATTTATAATTTTGCCCGACCCGAACCCGAACCCGACTCGACTAAAACCCGAATATTTTATTACAAAAAAGTCTATCTATGGATGTAATGAGCACTCCGTATAATCTCTTGACAAAAGTACTACTATATCAAATATGCCTTTTATAATCATTTTTATAATCCCTTAATAAAAAAGGAGACATAAAAAAAGAGACACAAAAAAATTAGATTTAATTTTTTCAAAATTATTGGGGTACGTCGAATTGATTATTGGTTAAAAGTCGGGTTTGGGTTTCGGGTTAAAATGTCGGGTTCGGGTCGGGTCGGATTTTTTGCTTTAAAGGTCGGGTTTCGGGTCGGGTTCGGGTTTCGGTTTTAAAAGTCGGGTCGGATGGTTCGGGTATAGTACTATCCGACCCGAACCCGACCCGTTGCCATCCCTAATTTTTAAAGACTCTTAAAAATCTAAGTTGAATACTTTAATATTTTGAAAGACTTTGAAAGATTCCTATTGAATAACTTAAATTTTTTAAAGACTTTTAAAAATCCAGATTAAATACATTCAGATTTTTAAAATCTAAAAAAATCCAACAACACTCCAATTCAATACACTCTCTAACAATGGCACTAGAACCGTGCCATTTACTTGATGCGTATATGAGGGGACGCACTGCGCCTTGAGGAGAAATGTTAGCTGTTTTGGGGGTTTCCTCTTCTGGATGTGCCTCTATAAATAGAGCTGCGGTTCTCAATCTCACTGGACTTCTCAAGCCATTCCACTCTCGAAGGCTAGCAGTTAGAGCTCTCTCTTCAATGTCGTACAACGCACAACTCGACGCCGCGAAGAAGGCTGCGACGCTTGCGGCTCGTCTCTGCCAGGTGCCTCTATATGATTTCAAATCGTTACGTTAGGTTTCCATCAGCCTGAGTCTAGGTCTATTAATGAGTAAAGCTGAGATCGGCCCATGATTTCCTGTTGTTTTCCTCCATTTCGCTTATATTGACGGCCTAGCACCAATCTCTGCTTAAATTTCCTTTGGAACAATGTTTGATTTGCCCTTGTTTGAGTTGTATATGGCAGACCATAAAATCGTGGAAACAATTTAGCTGATGCATATTTGGTTTGTGTACATTTCAGAAAGTTCAGAAGAAGCTGGTGCAAACCGATGTGCAGTCGAAGTCAGATCAGAGTCCGGTGACTGTGGCAGATTATGGTACACTGTGTTGACTTATTCCTTGGTGTTCGTTTGAAATGTCTAAACGAGGACGAAATGTACTTTTATTTCTAGTTATTTTAAAATAGTATGTTAATTTCAATTTATTTTAATGGTAAGTACTTCATACATTTCAATGGCATATGTATTTTAGTTTTTGATGGATTAGAATACTATGACAAGTAGACAACCCTGTATAATCCCAAACTTCGTTCGTGTCCGGGGTCAAGATACAGCCTTATCTTTGTAAAAATAGAGAGGCTATTTCAGTTAGGTCGAAGCCGCACTGTTGCATTTACTGTCTAAAACTTTACAGAAAGTAAGAAAAGAGGGAAGTTTTATGTTTTATTTTGATTCAATTCATTATGTGGAGACTAAAGCATTGTCCATTGGCAATGGACAGTACTAAAGCAGATGAATCTGTGTAGATAATCGGTTTGATAATGAACAATAACTAGTCATTCTCTCATGCTAAGGATGTTAATTTGTGTAAATGAGATTCATCTGTCTATTGTTCTTATAAACCACCATATTTATTGGCATTTATGAGTTTTTGCATTGGATGTTACAATTAATTTTCAGGTTCTCAGGCAGTGATCAGTGTTATTTTGCAAAAGGAGTTGCCTTCTTATTCCTTTTCCTTAGTGGCTGAGGAGGTTAGTTTTCTTCCATTGATTCTTATATTCTTTTTTGAGTAGGGAGTCATTATTTAAGGACTCCATATGTAATTTATTACTCCAGATTATAAATTTCTCAACGTAGATGCATATGATTGTTTACAATCCAGGAAACATTCTGCAATTCTGCTTGTTTCTTTCCGTCTGTGATTTGGACAAATTTTTACTTTCTAGTGCCAGGTTTATTTTCTACAGTACTATAGAAGCATATAACTAAAAAATATTTTTTTGCTAACTAGAGCTGAACATGTGGATGCTGAACCTATATAGGATTCGGAAGACCTCCGCAAAGAGCATTCACAAGAAACACTACAACGCATTACAGAGATTGTGAATGATACTCTTGCTTGTGCTGACTCTGGAATTACTTCTGCCTTATCTCAAGAAGATGTGCTTGCTGCAATTGATAGTGGTAGATCTGATGGTGGCCCTTCTGGTTTTCATTGGGTATTAGATCCCATTGATGGGACTAAGGGGTAATGTTTCAAATATGCATACTTGGTGATAACTGTAACAAATTTGTACTTTATTCTTTGCTGAATTGCGGTCTATGGATGTTCCTGGCTCCATATGTTAATTAGAATGGAAGAAATGTATAGACATTTGATGAAAATGTTGTTGATTGGATTTTTATAGTTTTCATGAAATCGAAAGAGGGTTAATTCAGGTCGAAAGAATTAGGGCAGCCAACAGAGGAAACAGTCTAAGTCACTAGATATGGTTTTGTAGGTTTTTAAGAGGTGATCAGTATGCCATTGCATTGGGATTGCTAGATGAAGGTAATGTAGTTTTGGGTGTTCTAGCCTGCCCCAATCTTCCATTAGCTTCTGTAGCATACCATGATCATGAAGGGGACAGTGGTTGCTTATTTTTCGCTCAAGTTGGAGGTGGAACCTACATGCAAAGTCTAGAAGGATCTTCTCCTAAAAAGGTTGGAAGCATCTCTTGTTTTCTGTTCTAACTGGTGATGGTAATTAAGATGTTGTTATACTCTCACATACCATTTTTTGGTATCCAACAGGTGCATGTCACAGATATTGAAAACCCAGAAGAGGCATCAATTTTTGAAGCTTTTGAAGCAGCACATTCAATGCATGACTTGTCTAGCTTGATTGCAAAGGTATAATAACTCTTTCCTGTTTTTATAAATTAAGCTCTCATGACTTGTAAATAGTAAACTTCTAACTTAATAAACATAATCAAAGAAACTAGGCGTGAAAGCATCACCTGTTCGAATAGATAGTCAGGCCAAGTATGCTGCATTGTCCAGAGGAGATGGAGCAATATATATGAGATTTCCACATAAGGGCTACCGTGAGAAGATATGGGATCATGCAGCTGGATATCTTGTTGTTTCTGGTACGGTTTTCTTAACTCGAAGCACTTGATACTCCCTTTTCTTATCAGCTTTCGCGTGCAAATTCTGGGACATTTGGCAATCACTTTCAAGATTATTTTTTTTGGCAAACTGTGTCCTATACTAAAGTTTAACCTATATGCGAAAATCCCCTAATAGTCACATAACACATTTAACAGAGAACCAATAGAAGACAACCTGATTGCATAGTTAATACTTGAGAGATGAGACCGGTGCTTAGGCGCCTTCAAGTAGCATATTGTTAGTGAAACTCCATTTTTTGATATTTTTGACAATAATAGACATGGTTGATATTTATTGTTCATAGAAGATATTTTGTCCTGTAAAGACATGGTTTTTAATCAATTACTCCAAACAATCTTTGAAATCAACTTTGAGTTAAAACTTCTAAAATCTTGTGCCTTGATCAAGATGACTAAATATTAAAACGTTTTGCATTAGCCAAACATGACCTTTTTTTTGAATGAAGCATTGCATATTTTTAAAAATATACACTGTAATGGTATGGTCCCCATGTACTTGGGGGGGGGGGGGCTTGTGTGGAGTTCGTTGTTCCTTTTTCCATGTCTTTTAAATTGCAATCTTTTTCTTAATTCTTTTCTTGTGAATGTTGCAGAAGCTGGAGGTATTGTGAGAGATGCTGCAGGAAAGCCATTAGACTTCTCTAGGGGAAGGTATCTGGACTCGGACACCGGCATCATTGTTACCAATCAGAAGTTGATGCCCGCCCTACTAAAGGCCGTTAGCGAATCATTGGCTGAAAAAGCTTCTTCTCTATGATCATAAGTGACCGGCGGGTCGTCCCGATACCCAACGTTGACGAACAATTAATAATATGCACTCCATAAGCTAGCTATTTGCAATTTAAGTGGATACATTGAGTTTGATTTGGTTTGGCTATATATATAGTGTTAAGTTCACTCTCAACTTCGAATAATCAAACATCACCACTCTGTTATACTGTACTTTTTTGGATAGTGGTACCAGAGTGCTATGACATTTTGTATTGTCGCAACCCATATAATATGGAATTATACGAATGGTAGCGAAACGAGTTGAACCTTTTTCTCCAACCAAGTAAAACCCAATTAAAGTACTCCGTAACATACTTGCAACAAAGGCTAAAAACTTTATTTTGGATAGATGCGTTTCAAAACATTAACCATACTGGAAGCAAAAGAATGTACTACAAGTTTGGGTCGATGCCCAAAACAAATACGAGTAATACAATGAAGGGTGGGGTTCCCATGACATTGAAACCCAATGTCATGGGAACCTTGGTGTACAATGAATGAACATTCATTTGTCATGTCATGTTTACATTATCAAAGTTACCTTAAAATTTTCACTTTTCAACTATGTTAGAAATTTCTATTTCGTTATAGTAATATACTTTTAAAATATGCATAATTATGTTATTGTATAAAAAGGTTATTCGGAGTATAAACTATTACTTTTTTAAAAATATTACTATATACGGAGTAGAACTTATTAAAAAACTATTCAAATTTTATCATATTTTTTTCCAAAAAATAGTATATAGATTGGAATGCATGTTCATCTTTATTAACTACTCCTTCCATTTCAATTTAAATTGCCTGTTTGGTTTACGATGTTTGATTGAAGTTATTTCAAATTATTTTATATGAAAAACGGTACAGAATTAAAAAATAAAAATTACGTAGTACATATTTAGAAATTACATGAAAAGATCTACAAAACTAGTGGTGACATGACTATATTATTTTATCAAATAACTAACAAAAATAGGGAAACAAAGTACTGAATTTTGATCCTGTGAATGTTTAACATACAATTTGAATAAAGTTGAATTAGTTTAACAAGTGGGTGACATGTGACATGTCAATTCGATATTTGTTATTTTAATTTTTTATTAATTAAAGTAAGTTTTATTATTAATACATTCAATGACCATTATTATTTATGTTTAAAACAATTATCTTTTCAAAGTAGTATATCAACATGTATTTCATACTCTAAAATATACTCTCTTTGTCCCAAAATGTTTATCACATTATGCAAAACGAAGTGAAATATTAAGTTTTTCAATTCATTTAATTTAAGTATTGGTATAGAATTAAAAAAATAAAATTTACACATTTAAAATTATGTAAAAAATTATTCAAAACAACATGTGATAACAATATTTTATTTTATCAAATAATTGATGAAAACGTACATATAAACAAAAATTTCTGTGATTTTTGAATAATGAACTATGACAAAAAAGTTATTTATATTTTTGAATATACATAACTATTTTATTATTTAAAAAGGTTTTATAAATTTTTTTATCTTCTCAAAAAAATGTACAATCATATATTTTCAAAAAAAAACCTATTCTTAGTTTTTTCTTTTAATTATTTAAAAAAAAAGATGTATAGAAATTCAAATACATGTGCATCATTATTAAATTAACCAACTTTTATTTAAAAAAAGATGGTACATCTATATAAAAAATTCTTCAAAACATGTGATAAAAATATTTTATTTATCAAATGACTGATGAAAACGTACATATAAACAAAAATTTTCTTGATTTGAATAATTAACCGTGACATTCTTTTTTATACGAAATAGTATATTTTCGAATATACATAACTATTTTATTATTTTAAAAGGTTTTATATATTTTGTTATCTTCTCAAAAAATGTACAAGCATTTATTTTCAAAAAAAAAAACTATTCATAGTTTTTTCTTTTAATTATTTTTAAAAACTAAAGATGTATAGAAATTCAAATACATGTGCATCATTACTAAAATAACCAACTTTTATTTAAAAAAGATGGTATATCTATAGTCAAATAATATTTATACAACACGCCATATAATTAATGCAAAATTAAAATAAATAGAATTGTATTTAACTCAAATTGAAATGTAATCAAAATGTTACTCCGTAAAATTCTACTAAAATGTATATGAGCTCATACAAAGCATAGGGTCAACACCAGTTTATTATTAATCCTTTAAGATTCAGATGTCCACACCATAGTGTTGCAATATAAAAGTGTGTCATCATCCTTGTAAATGATTATTAATTTCTCATGGAGAAAATGAAAGCATTTTCAAAAGTTGTGCTACAAAGGAATGTCGGAAGGGTAGTCATGCGGATGCCTTGCGATGGTGTCTCTAAGTGACATCTCTTGCTCGCGGAGGTTGGCGGGCGGAGCATCATAAACGTCTGTAAAAACTTCACTAACAGCAGGTTTCTTCGCCTTCTCCGCTTCTTCAACTGCGTGTAAGATCTGCAACAGATAGATGGTTTAATGAGTTTGACCGGAAAACAAACATTTTGAAAATATTACTCCCTCCGTCCCCCTAAGATGTTCTCATTTTGACTTTTGGTGGTTTTTAAGGAGAGTTGAAAAAAGGTGAAAGTTTACCATAATACCCTTAATGGAAATGGGTGGAGTGTATTAAATGAGGTGGGTGAGGTGTAATAAATAAAGTAAGTGGGGGTAGTTGTGGTATTTTAATTGTTAAAAAATGAAATGAGAAGATCTATTGTGGACAAAGAAAAAGGGCTATTGGGAAGATCTATGGGGGACGGAGGGAGTATACAATATGTAATTTAATAATATTTTTCTTGTATCAATATATAATGTAGATCGTATTCAATCAATTGCGTAAAAAATAAAAAAAACCAGACAAATACTTTGGGACAGATATAGATCTATTTGAAGCACTTAAATCTCATCAGCTAAAAACAAGTACTTCTTCTTATTTCTTATTGATTTTGCATCATGCATAAGCAATCTAATACTACACTATGTACAAAGATGACCTGGTTCCTGAGAGTGGCTTGAAGTTGGGATTCAGCATCAGTGTCCCACCAACCTTCTCTTTGAATCCACTTCCTGTACCTTGTCACCGGATCCCGGGCACCTTTCCACAGTTCAATTTCATCGGCGGGGCGATATTTCGTGGAGTCGTCCGAAGTGGAGTGATGTCCTGCTCTGTATGTGAGCGCCTGTCAATGATCATGTCAAATAACACACTATTGTAGCATTGCGAAACAAATGTTTGTAACAAACAAATACACTCGGGGGAATTTACCTATATAGTACTAAAACATATGAATTTTTCAATGCACTACCATATGTTTTAATTTTTCAATGTAGTACCACTGCTCAATGTCTACTGTACATTGTTCAAGTAAATGTCCACCACTGGACATTGTTCAAGTACTATATAGGGAATAAAAAATTTTAGGGACGACATTTGAAAAAAGACATATGTTTTAGTACTATTTAGTGCACGTTTCACATATTTTAGACAATCCATCGATATTTCTTTATCGAATACGGAAAGTGGACATCACGAAACAAAAATATAAAAGTGGACAACTAAAAACTGCTTAGGATATAGGCATTGACGAACCTCGATAAGAATGGGTCTGTGTTCCTTAACAGCCATCTCGCGAGCAGCACTCACAGCACTGAATATAGCAAGAGCATCGTTTCCATCAACACGAATGCTGCGGACTCCATATGCTTTGCCCCTGACAGCAACCCCATCACCTGCCAACAAGAAACCTTGTAATGAAATGGAACACACAACAACAAGCAATTGAAGTTGTTAGAGTATATAAGAATCATTCCTGGGCCATAACCACAAGCTTGAGCTTTTGGTTATGGCCCAGGAATGATTCTTATATACTCTAACACGCCCCCTCAAGTGGACAACCGGATGGGTATGGACAACTGGATTGGGGCAATAAGACACTTGGGTTGAACCACATTAAAAGATTGAATCCAATCCTTACTTAGTTCAACTCAAGAGCTTATATACCGATTATTTTGCTCTTGAACTTCCGATGTGGGATGTCACTCTAACATGTCAAGGAACCAATTCAACCAAAAGCTCAAGCTTGTGGTTATGGCCCAAGAATGATTCTTATATACTCTAACACGCCCCCTCACGTGCAGGCGTAACCTTTTTTTTAGCCTTGCACGTGAAATCTTAATTTTTTATTAAACTGGGTGGCGGTGAGTTTCGAACTCGTGACCTTTTGGTCATCAAGGCTCTGATACCATGTCAAGGAACCAACTCAACCAAAAGCCTCAAGCTTGTGGTTATGGCCCAGGAATGATTCTTATATACTCTAACAGAAGTATCTAAAAGACGACTGACCAAAAGGAGGAGGAGGAGGAGGGGTATACTTCGAAACTGGTCACTAACAGGTGTACTTATCGCCCAACCATTGTTCCTACAAAAGAAGACCACCGGCACCTCCAGCACCCCAGCAAAGTTTAGTGCAGCATGGAAGTCACCCTGAATGAAATTTCACTTTATGTATTACATATGAATCTGAATTCTTAAGAGTCTGAAATTAGAACGGGTAGGCCTTTACCGTGCTGGAGCCTCCATCTCCAAAATATACAACAGCACAGGCATCCCTACCATCCATCTTCAAAGAATATGCAGCCCCAACAGCTTGGGGAATTTGTGTCCTAATTAGACACGATGATCGAACCTTCATTATTGGTGATGAGTTTGTATTTGTTTAAGAGAATGGGTAGAGAGTGTGAATCGTTAACTATACAGCAGAGGTAGGATTTATCTCTTACGCAACAGTTGATGAGACGGTGAAGTAATTGAGCTTGTTAGATCCATAATGGATAGGCATCTGCCTGCCTTTTCCGTAGTCATCTTTATTTCCGAAGCACTGGTTGGCAAACTCCTGTAGAGTGAATCCCCTCCATAACAAAACTCCGGGCTCCCTATACTAAAAGGGCATTGGATGAATAAATAAAAACAAGCAAAAACTTAAAACGGTTAATCGTAAAGAGTTCCACATTGAAATATCAAGGAGGGAGAGACATGAACTTTTTAAGACCTTATAAAAGCTCTCAACACAGACCGGTAAGGTGGGGGAGGCACAGTAAGAAAAGACGCGTAAAAATCTTATTATTAACCTGGGGAAAGATAAAGTCATCCATGCGAAGAGCTGCGGCTGATGCAATGTTCATGGCCTCTTCTCCAATGGTTGTGAGATAGAACGATATTCTTCCTTGTCTTTGTACTTCGTAGAAAATGGTATCCATGGTTTGAAGCGCGACCATGTTGGTATATATCTTCACAGCAACCTCCTTATTCATCTGAAAAAAATTATTAGCAGCTAGCTCTTATAAGATTGAGACAGACAGTTGGCATTGGATTGTACAAGTAAAGTTTGTTTTGAAAATTACCTTGAGAAAATTGTTGGTCAGTGGGAGACCATCATCGTTGAGGACGCGGTAGCAGTGAATCCTCTCATCGGTGGTTTCAGAAATAAATTTCATATGGTGGGTGAACTTAACCTTCCCTCCCGGGAAATCCAAGACCTAAAAAGTGCAAGATAAGTCTAATATGATTCAAGCCCACATTATCCCCCCTGTATTGTCATCAAAAATCACTTGATCGGACAAGACTTCTTTATTTTTCCATCTGATCATACATGACTGTATATACGTATACTCCCTCCGTGTCCCGGCCACAAGAGAAAAAATTACTCGAATAAATAACTGGGTTGAGTGTTATTTCTAGACATTTTTTCAAACACTTAGCGGACATAAAAATGTTAAAATAGTAAAATTATTGTTTAATTAGCACATAGCATTATAATATAGTATGAAAGCATCAAATTGAGCAAATTTTGCTAAAAAGATGCACACAACATAGGGAGGACTACTATATACTCCCTAAGAAAAATTCACAAGTGACCCCACTTGACCCCCCCGTGTCCGCCCCCACATCCAAGACAATTGTTTCTCGGCCGAAAAAGAATCAAAGTTTCGACATACTCCCTCCGTCCCTATTTATTCATCACACTTTGACTTGCACACAATTTTAGGTAGTGGTTAAAAAGCAATTTTTTTCCAATTTTACCCCCACCCACCCGTCCCAAAAGCAAACCCCGTAGAAAACCAAAAAGGGGATTGAAAGGGGGCCCTTAATTAAAGTAAATATCACATCAATATCATTATTTTACAACTAGGCCACAATTTTTACACATCATCACCAAATACACCACACACAATTTTCGTTTAAAATAAAGAGGGAAAAGAGCCAAAATTTAACATTGTTTCCCCCCAATTTTTTCCATATGTACACCCTCTTCAATGCCCATATAAATGAGTTGTGTGCATTGAAGAGGGATATTTAATTCTAACCCAAAATGGATGACATATCTTCAATTCCATCTTCATCCACACTTCATGTATTTGACCTCAATCTGCCCCCGACTGTCCATGAGTTCGATCTCAACAAAGATCCGACGCCGGCTTCACGTGGAGACGATCCATCTTTTGACCTTACAATGTGTGATGGAACAGATTCTAGTGCAAAAAGGAGGAAACAACTACAAGATACCACACATTGGGAAAGACAGACTAGAGAGGATGGATCAGTTGCCTGAGAATATTCAAGTCAGTATGGAAGTGGTGGAGGCAGCCAGGAACTTCTTAGCAGAGCAGGGGGCTGGTAACAACTGACTTAAAAATACAATCTAAGTTCTTTGTTTTAATTTTTGCTTTTTGGAGGGACTTGTCCTAATGAACTGTGGAGTTCTAGACATGAATTGATTTCACAAATGGCACAGAGATGTGATGGCCTCACTAAAAAGTGTTGAAATTTAATCCCCCCTTCATCATTAGTTAAGAGATTGAATTACCATAACATGCAGAGACAGTCCATTTGATGATTAAGTTATTGAGGAGAGGTCATACCACAGGAAGGCAGATCGAAGGGTATTGGTGGAGGGTTCACCATCAAAGCATAATCTGTGCAGACCAATGGTCTATGATCATAGTCAGATGTCACCTCTTCGGATTCCCCTTCGTCGCTCTCAAATTCCAGATCCGATTCATCAAACATCGCCACATCCCCGTACTTCTTACGATACCTCCAGGTTGGGTCTGTATCAGAAGTAGAGGTCGAAGGAGTAGGATAGCGACGCCGCCGACGCTTCAATCCTCGTCCAGATCCACCAATTTGGGGGAATCTACCTCGCGAGGGTGATTCCTGTATCAACAGATTAAAATTGGGATATGAGGGATCTGGATTACCCATAGATTAGGGAGTGGAGAAGACGAAGATTGTGGCGGAGAGGAATTTGAGAATGTCGCGGAGAAGACGAAGTTTGAAGATGAGAGATCGGATGGAGAAGACGAAAGTGTGGTGAGAATGAGAGGAATCCGGATAAGGATTCTGATGCACAATTTGAAAAAGCTGGGCACATTTTGAAAAAGTAGGGGTATAATAGTCTTAACACACCAATTTACTTTCCATTATTAGAAGTGTGGTGAATTTTTTGGGACGGATGAAAAAGGAAAGTGTGACAAATATTTAGGGACGGAGGGAGTATATAAGAATGCTGTTTACTTTTCATATTTGACCCTTAATACAGTTAAGGAAAATGCTAGGGGTACACCAAAAGTGTACCCCAAATATCCCCACCCCCTCCATTACCACAAAAAAAGGCAAGATAAGTCTAATATGATTAAAGCCCACATTATTCCCCATGTATTGTAATAGTGAGTAATAATAACAATAATTAAAAGAATAATAATCATTATTATTATTATTAAATAATAATAATAATTAAAACAATAATAGTTATTATTATTAATATTGTTGTCATTATTAATTAATAATAATAAAAATAATTCATAATAATAATTCATAATAATAATTTATTATCATCATACTTAATCATAGCAATAATATTAATTAATAATAATAATGATTAAAATGATGATGATAATAATAATAATTGAATAATAATAATAATTAATAATAATAATGATAATAGAATTAAATAATAGTATTTATTTGTAAATATAATAGTAAGAATAATTATTCTTAATAATAATAGACTTTAACAATAATTGTAATTATAATTAATAATGATAATGATAATAATCATCATTAATGATAACACGTAATAATAATTATAATAATAATTTGTTATAATTATAGTAATTATAATTATTAAAATAAAATAATAATATTAATAATAATTAATAATTGTAATTATAAATTTTAATAATAAAAAGTAGTATTGTAATATTAATAATAATAATTATTATTAATAATTACTAATAAATCTTTATTATTATGATAAATACTATTATTATTATAATTACTCTAATTATTTGAATTTGAATTAAATCCATTTAGATCAAATCAAATAAGATCTATTAAGATCAGATCAGATTCATTCAGATCAGATCAGATTAATCTGAAAATTTTGGTTTAGATCATATCCAATCAGCCAAAGAGAACGCATTTTTATACTTATTAGAAATATCAGGAAAAAAATTAAGTTCAACAAAAATGAGTTTAATAAAATCAAAAAAAAATTGATCTCACTCAAAAGAGATCTACTCTGGAAAAAAAGATCCTTTCCACCAAAAAAAAGAATAAGAAAAAAGAGAGGTCTTCAAAAGATGAAGACTGAGAATTTGACATTGACTTGTGGTGGGTTCTCTCATTAATCTTTAGCTAATAAGCCTAATATACGTTATTGGAGAAATAAACTTGTGTGTGGCCCCAAACCGTCTCACATGAAACAAAAGACCACCTCACGAAACATGTAGATTTGTTCGTGTGTTTTTTTACTACGTGTTCTTTACTTCCTCCCTCTTGTAAAAGGTAACAAATTTTAACTTTTTCATTTGTATGTATTACGGAGTATAAAATATTTCAACTTTGCCCTTACCTTTTTAATCTAACTGAACCTATCCAAATTAATTTTTATATCCTATCCATTTTCACATTTCTCGAGTTTTACTAGTTTCCATTGTCATCGTTTCACTTAGTCAAACTTCTATAGCTTACCTCCCAAAGTCAAAACAAAAAATGTTTTGCGGGACAGAAAAAGTACTCCCTCCGTCCCCCTGTATTTGTCCACATTTGACTTTTGAAACTGTTCATCTAAGCACTTTGACTCATCAAATTCTCTCAATGTGTAAGCCTAAATATAGTCATGTGTGATCTTGTTTGATTTGTCTTAACATATAGATTATTAATATATAATTTTTATAATTTTTCAATATACAAATTACAAGATAAAATGGATTAAAGAAGTGCATTGGATGGTATGTAAAAATGAAAGTGGACAAATACAGGGACGGAGGGAGTATTATTTACTAGATTAGATCGGATCAGTAACAGGTATAAATTACACTGCAGTCAGACCAGGCCACATTTTAACCAGTACTTTGCACTAGTACACTCTAGCATTGATGTCAGTGCAAACATTATTAATCACATTGATATTTTGTTCCAATGTGTATTAGTGCTTTGTGTGTATAAAATGTTGGTGTACAAAATAGGGTATACTCCGTATTTGTTTGGGGGTAACAATAACATTAAACATTAGACAAAAGAGAATCAAAGTGCACTAATGTGAAGTCAAGCAGAGAAGTCAAAGTCCATTAATCTCAAATCAAAGAAATGCAACACGCATAAGCAGATACATTTATTTGATCAGTTGAATCGACGAGGAAAATTCACAGAGAGGGATTCACCTGCGGGTGATCTTCGAGGATCGGTTGCGGTTCGGATGGGATTATTGATTGAAGAGAACGGCGAGAGGTGTGGCAACATCCGTACGGCGGAACGATCCCGCCGAGAGTTGAGAACGGAATCGGAGCGAAATGCGGTGGCCGGCGTATGATCAGTCTCGAGCTTAGCAGATGAGGAATCAGCGCTCTGGATTTTGAGAAACAGGAAGCCATGCTTGCTAAATCTTTATATATTCTTCTAAAGCAGCGGAGATGATAAATTTTCCAGGATTGATAACGTGTTCTTAAATAAATAAAAAGGCCATACTAAAAAGACTGTCTTTCCGTCCCTCTCAGTCTCTGATTTGCTCTCTGATTTACTCCTAAATCAAAGGAAGGTATACATCTCATCTGAATGAATCTAAAGAAAATCACTCGCCCTCCATTTCTCTTTATCTGTTTGTTTCCTCCTGCGTAAAAATGAATTAATATAGACTAAATTATAACACCTGATTTTTGTCTTCTATTTTCAATTATTACTTTTGTAGTCTCTCTTTCTGTCATTTCAGTGTTAATTTGAGAGCTAAAAGTGTATATTGATATCAATCATATGTCCAGTGACGTATTTTGATGTCGGCTAGATGGTCAGCAAAACAATAATGACTATGATTGTGGACTAGAATTTCGACGAAAGATTACATTTGTAAAGTATGTTTGTAGTAGAAAAACGATTGTAATTCATAAACGATGAGTCAGGAGCGACCTCTACAATTGAGTATGACAAGAAAGATATATATATATATATATATATATATATATATATATATATATATATATAGAAAATGAGATCAGGTGAGAATGACATCTAATGAAAGAAAAGAGAATATTTTTAAGTCCTTAGATCTACTCAGATCTGGAATTGAGATACACTAATAGGAATGTGCATTTTAGAGATTTAACATTGCAACCTTTTCTCTCTCCTATTTTGTATTGAACGATCCACAGAATAAGGCACAATCTATCTCTTTATGCTCATGTTTCCTTTTGTAGTAAGGATATTATGTGATCAAAAAGTAAAGACTGAGGATCATTGCTTTGATATTTCTTCTTCACAGATCTTGTTCTGGATTGAGAACGAGAGAGGTTCTAATCGACCTAATCTTGCAGCGAGAGATTTTGGAAGATTGGGGGTTGAATTTGGCAGATCGTCTCTCCATCTAGGTAAATTTTTCTTCTCATTAGCGTTTCTATTTATTTATTTCTAAATTTTTGATAATATTATGCTATGTGAAATTCATACTTCTGGAATTAAAATTCCAAATGGAATTACACTATCAAATTTTACCTTTTTGTATTCTAAAATTTACGTTCTATGTAATATCCTTATGCATATGTTACATTTGTTGAATTAATTTTTTAGTTCCTCCCTTATGTTTTCTTATATTTACGTTTACTACATTTTCAAATTCAAGTAATGCATTACTAGATCAATGGAGTGCATTATCATTTCACCGTGTTGCAAAAATGAGAAAACTGATGGGTATAATAATTGAATATTTGACATGTTTTGCTAATTTCACTAGTTTATGTTATTTCTGTTTTTTCAATTGTTTCGTGTTGTAGTTCATTTACATGAGTTGTATATTGGTTCCCGTTTCTTTTTAAATACTTTTGCACATAAACTGTTTGTGAAAATGCCCCAAAGAAAACTAAGTGTAATTTGAAACTACGAATAGTAGTTGAACGAAAGTCTTTTTCAAGTTTAAATGCATAACATATGCTCTTGATATGCATGTCAAAGTATACAAAATGCGTTCTATTGCATTGAAAATGAAAAATAAAGAGCATTTTTAATATACTGTGTTGTTATTTTTTATTAGATCTACTCTTTCTAAATGTTAATGTGAATGACTTGTGGTTTTAATTTGGAGAGATTCTAGATATGCAATTTGTATTTTGTTTGGATGTGGTATGATGAGTCATATTTATGGTGTGTTCTCAAATTCAAACATCTTTCTTTTATACATATCATTATGTATGATAAACATTGCACTCTTACCCTTTTGTGAAGTATTTATGTAAATACAACTCGTCTTGATAGTGATTTTTATATATCTTACTTTTGTGTTTGTTTGTGTGTGAAATGGTGCAGTGTCACAGTCGCAGCAATGCACTTACATGAAAAGGTAATGCATTCTCATAATTAAGATTAAGGATAATGCATTATGTTATTGTACATTTTCATAATCAAGGTAAAAGATACCACATTCTATTATTGTGTTTTCTCATAATCAAAGTTGATGCATCTAATGGTAAAATTATCCTTACATAAATATGATGCAGCTGTATAGTCTAGATATTGAATTTTCTGTACATGATGATGCTTTAAGATGTTCTATCTTACACTTGAATATGAGTTAGAAACTTGTTGAATAATGTAAATTTAAAAAGATTAAAATGCATAGTTAATATATCCATGTGCAAGATGATAATCTCTTTGAAAAGAATTATTGCCTATTAGCTCAAACGGTAGAGCGATATGTATTACGGATGTGGGTTCGAATCCCACATAGGCAAACAATTTTCAAATCTGTATTAAACTTGTTCTGAATGCAATGCATTCTCAAGTTTTCCCATCACATACAAAGTCACTCATGAATAATTATTCACCGATCCACAAATTAATATAATAAATTTTTAATAAAATTCAAAGGACAAATCAAAGCGAACATATCAACCATCACAGTGCATGCATAATTTATAATACAAATTGCAGCTATATAAGAATGGTGCATACAGAAAAAACTATTATGTGTGACAAAAATGTATTTATTAAAAAATATTAAATAAGTGATGAGAAGTAAAAAAGGGTAATTGAATACGGGGTAGTTTTTAGAAGAAAGAGAACATTTATAAATCATACATTTTTTCTTCCAAATTGAAAATAGAATATATCCTTTGCATCCTTAAAAATGCATTAAAATAAAGTAAAAAAGAAATAAATTATTTTAAAGAGTTTAATTGTAAAAATATTTATTATTGATTTTTATAGAAAAAAGTGGTTCATAAATTAAAAAAATAAGAAACAATTAATATTACTACCCATGAATCATGAAGCGCATGTTTAAAAAAGAAAAAGAAATACCCCTTACATAATATGACAACCATAAAGGCTAAAAACGTGGAAGTAATTAATGTGCACTCAAGAGTTTTATTTTAAGCAAATGGCGTAAATGGTAAGATAATTTTCATCCCTAGATATTTAACGTGTATTAAGGCATTTTTTGTTCCAGATTTACCCCCACGAGATAATATCTCCAATTTTAGATTTACCCTAGTTATTAATTTCCTAATTATGGCAAAACTTTAAAAATGCATCTTAGCCCCTAATTACATTCGATCCAACGTCTTCTGATCATTCTCATTTCTTTCACAAGGGATCATTCTCACCTGATCCAACCCCTATATATATATATATATATATATATATATATATATATATATATATATATATATATATATATATATATATATATATATATATATATATGCTCAATGTAAAATTACACTTTTAGCCAGTCAATTAATATCAACATGACAGAAGATCAACAAAAAAACTATTTGTAGAAACATAACTATAAAAGAAGGAATATAAAGATAATATTTGATAATAGATGACTAAATAAAAAAAAGTCTCTGTACAATAAAAGACTAATTATGAAATGTACTCATTTATATATTATAGGTATTGGAAAGTAGTTTTAATGTATTACGTATACTTTTAATACTTTTATGCTAATACTCCCTACGTCCCGCTATATTCGTCCACTTTTGACTTTTGGAAATGTTCATCTAAGCACTTTGACTCATCAAATTCTCTCAATGTGTAAGCCTAAATATAGTCATGTGTGATCTTGTTTGATTTGTCTTAACATATAGATTATTAATATATAATTTCTATAATTTTTTAATATACAAATTACAAGATAAAATGAATTAAAGAAGTGTATTGGATGGTGTGTAAAAATGAAAGTGGACAAATACTCTGGGACGAAGGTAGTATATTTTAAGAATAATATTGGTTAAACATTAGACTCAAAAAGCAAATATGACAGTTAAAACAAGAATAAAGAGAGCAATTATTCCAAAAAGAAATGATATATTTCTGTCCTAAAAGAAAACGGCTCCATATTACACTCCAACAATGTGATATTGTATATTGATATTTGATATCCTACAAACAAAAAAGTATTATATCTTAGCATTATTGATATTATAAGTCTTTTTAAAATATAAAAATATGAAGGTCTTATAATATTTTTTTCTATATATACACCTATTTCTTTCTTCTATTAATTTGATTCAGACCAAAGTTAAAATTATTATCATAAAGTTATTGCTCCAGATCTTTTAACATTTTGATGATCATTCGAAGAATTATTAATTAAAATTATTATCATAAAGCTATTGCTCCAGATCTTTTAACGTTTTGATGATCATTCGCATAATTATTAATTCATCAATACATAATACATTATACTTCCTCCGTCCCCAATTTGATTACAAATTAGGTTTACGAGGAGAAATATCTCACTTTTTGAAATCACTTTATTTACAAATCAGTATATTGATAATAAATAAAAATTACATATTAAAAAACTACGTCAAAAGTTTTACAAAACAAAGTGACAAGAATATTTTATTTTATCAAATACTTAGTGAAATCGCGTAAATAAACAAAAGTTATCGAGAAGAGAGAAAGAAATTGTAATCTAATTGAGAACGGAGGGAGTATAACTTTTATACTAGATTTAAGTTTTTATAGAAAAAAAATCAACCATACTGAAATTCTTTGTTCTCTTTTTAAAAAATAACCACTTACTTTTTCCTATTCAATATAATATTTTTTGAATATTATTTCTAGACGCTTTTTTAAAATTTGTGAAGACAAAAATAATATTTATATGGCGGAGAGCATATTATAATTAAAATTATTAATAATAATAAAATACTCTGTATTAATAATAATAATAATAATAATAATAACAAGAATAATAATAGTAGAAATTTTAGTAACTACTATGTATTTTTTAATCATTTGCACATTATTATTTAATCGCATGTAACATTATAAAAATAATTACTCTATTTTTTTAGGAAAAATACTCCATAATATTTTAATTGTATGTAACACTAAATAATGTAACATTATTTAATCGTATAATAATTAAAATTTGATCCTAGGAAAAATATAATACTTCTTCTGTTCCTGAGTGTTTGCCTATTTTTTACTTTTTCAGTCAAAATTGAAAAACTTTGACCTTAAATTAATTAAAAATTATATTAGATATCGATACAACACTTGTTCCATTAGCTTCATTGTATAAAATACTTTCAATATATTATTTTATATATTTAATATACAATATATATATTATTTAATTATATGTCAAAGGTTGAAAATGATTGATTGAAAAAAGTCAAAATTGGACAAATGCCAAAGACGGTGGTAGCTAGTATTATTTTCAACAATTTTCTAATCTGATTTGAATAAATTAAATTTGAATGGATTTGATCTGATCTGAAATCTGAATTAGTCTGATTTTTTCTGATATGAATGGATTTAATTTAAATTAACCTGATTTCACTTAAAAGTAATAAGCTTGTCATTATAAAAAAATACGGAGTACTCCGTAGTAAGCAATAAGCTTATCCAAATATTCGAGATGTACTTGCCCACTTTGCTTGTCCAACTATATCACCTACGGATTACACCTATCATTTGCTTGAGCTCCGTCAAATATAAATATCCAATCCTCAAAAAATAAACATTTTTTCACGTCATTTATTCCTAAACTTTTAGAAAACTACAAGAATTCACCTTGAACTTTAAAAATTGTATCAATGCCTCCTGAATTTTTAAAAAATGGTCTACCAACGATCTCTCTGTGCCAGATTTGAAGTGTGTTAATCACACTCATCAATATAAGTGTTGGATCTTGTGGAGATGTCATGGATTGGTGGAGAGGTTGATCGATTAATGAATAGCTTTATTGACTGATGCTCGGACTCCAAATTTATCGACGACTAAATTGAGAATAATTATCAAGAGTTAAAATAGGTTAAAAATATAAAAAATAGTGTTTGAAAAGGACATATTGCATAACTCACATGTGATATATGATTTTGAATGAATTCCTACTTGTACTAGATGAACGTCTGATTAACGCACTCTCATATCTAACATAGACGGACCATTGGTGCAACATTATTAAAAGTTCAGGGAGCATTAGTATAATTTTTAAAGCTTAAGGAGAATCTGTACAATTTTTGAAAAGTTCAGGGTTAAGTGACGCAATAAACTCAAAAAATAAAAGGTGAAGAGTTGATAAATTGAAGGTTAGAAGAAGGAAGATGAAAAGTTACTGGCAGCACATAATTTATGAATGAGTAAATTCCCAAAATAGTCCTTTGTAATAAGAAGTTTTTCCAAATTAGTCCTCAATAAGTTTTAATTACATACGTGGTCCTCTATAATTGAGATTTATTCCCAAAATAGTCCTTTGTAATAATGTATTTTCCCAAATCAGCCCTCAATAAGTTTTAATTACTTACGTGGTCCTCTATAATTGAGATTTATTCTCATGATGGTCCTTCGTAAATACTATTACTCAAATGAGGATTAATTGAGGTTTTTTTTTATCCGCTAAATTTAGAATTAATTCTTAAAATAATCATTTATAATGAAGTACTTTCCCAGAATGGTTTTTTTCTAATTAAAGATGTGTATTTGATTTGAAATTTAAAAGATTTTTTTAAGTTTTAAATAATTCATAAATTATTTATAGTCAATGTATTTTTTAAATTTTAAATTTAGTCGTACAGAAATGATTGTTTCGAGAATATTCTTTAAATTTTGATGATCAAAATACCAAAAAATCTCCCAATTAATCCTCAATTGAGAACTGATTTGGAAAAACACCTTATTACCAAGGATCATTTTGAGAATTTACTCATAAATAATTTATGAATTATTTAAAACTTAAAAAAATCTTTTAAATTTCAAATCAAATACACATCTTTAATTAGAAGAACCATTTTGGGAAAACACTTCATTATAAATGATTATTTTAAGAATTAATTCTAAATTTAGCATAGAAAAAATACTCTCAATTAATCCTCATTTCAGTAATATTATTTATGAAAGACCATCTTGGGAATAAATCTCAATTATAGAGGACTACATAAGTAATTAAAACTTATTGAAGACTGATTTGGAAAAAAACTTTATTACAAAGGACTATTTTGGGAATAAATCTCAATTATAGAGGACCACGTAGGTAATAAAAACTTATTGAGGACTAATTTGAGAAAACTCATTATTACAAAGGACTATTTTGGGAATTTACTCTTTATGAATGGATCAAATTGATGAATTGAAGAAGAAGATGCAGTACAAAACAAATCTCAATGACCTTTCAAATATTATTAAGGGTGAGGAAGCAAAAAATAGAAGACTTATTTTTTAGTTTCCCCATTGGAGCACATTTTTGCCCTCCCATTTTTCAAAACCTCTAAAAAATGGCATTTAGCATTCCTCTTGGAGTTCCTCTTAGCACTACACTTGCACACTTGATTTCACAAAGAAATTGTCCATTCAGAATTGATAAAAACGTACAAATAAATAAAAGTTGTCGTGATTTTCGAGTTGTGAACTAAAACATTATTTTTGAGACGGAGAGAATATGATTAGAAAAAATTAGAGGACTCCTTAGTTCGTACGAGAGATCTCTTGCATGTTATCTTTATTATCATTACTTGGGTAGTGTAATATTGTAGTTTGTTGGTTTTTTGAGGATGTATATACATTATGTTGGGGTAAAGGCATAATACATCAACGCCTAGAAAGAACGGAGCCAATGTAATAACGCTCGTGTTCCTGGAATTAAAGGCTGGTTTCCTTCATCTGATCTAGGTCTAATCTAATTATAATTGTTATATTTGAAACTATTTTTAATCTAGTCTTATCTAATTCTAATAAAAATAAATAATACTCCGTAAGTAATAAAAATAAATTGAAGAAATAAATTGAAGATAACAAGATCTAAAGCATCTCAAAGATTGATACGGTCACAAGGTCGGCATTTGCCATTAGAGATAAATGCCAAAAACGCCATTAACAGATTTTGACTAGTGACATTCTTGTGTACATGCCAGGCCATCATATATATATATATATATATATATATATATATATATATATATATATATATATGATAATACATACAGAACTTTGTGCATAGTCTAGGGAGTATTAACTAGTTGAGAGACTATTAATATGATCAATATATTGTAAGAAAGTTGACTGGGAGAAACAAGGAAAAGAAAAAGAGATCAGCAACAACTGCTGGTTGAATAATCACTGGACTGTGGTGGCTTCTCCTTGAAAATGTTCTTTTTGATGGCCTTTGAGCCCTCACCCACAAGGCTTGGAGTGTCAAGAATCTGCACATTCAAAATGTGACCAGTCAGTTGGGAAGAAACTTTTAGTTTGTAGGGGCGGTGGGCGCACTTGCAGGGTGACAAGAGAAGTGTTCGGAAGTACTTTAACGGATGAAGTAGGGAGAGAAAATTCCAATAGTAAAGGTTGTTCATTCCGAACGAAGAAAAAAAGTTATCAAGGCAAAGATTATGAACCTTCAGGAGAAGCTCCTCAAAGCATTGCTGCACATTCACACGTGTTTTAGCACTGCATTCAATAAAGAGGCACCCGCGCTCCCTAGCAAAGTCTATGCCTTCTTTTTTTGTTACAGCCCTTTCGTTGTCCTGAAAGAGAGTAAATAAAACAACAGTGACAGTTAAAAAATAAATAAAAACATGAGATTTTGCATTATCACATGTGAAGGGGAACAATCAAAACAATCTCATGCAGTCATAATGGAAGACCTGTTTTTTTCTTTTTTTGTAAGGGGTTGTTTGGCAACTTCTGAATAGGTAAGTGCTGAACCAGTAAGAGGTGTGAACCATTAAGTGTTGAACCAGTAAGAGGTCTGAACCATTAAGAGCTAGTATATTGCTTAACAATTCAGAGGCAAATGTCTGATCAATTCAGATAAGAGGTCTTAATCATTCAGACTCTGTATAATACTTAACCATTCAGAGGCAAATGTCTGAGCCATTCAGACATCTGAACCATTAAGATGCTGAAACAAACAGTCTGAACCATTAAGTGCTGAACCATTCTCTGAACCATTAAGAGGCTGAAACAAACAGCCCCTAAGTGTGATTTCTTTACTATGATATGCTGTTACCTGAGGAAAAGACGGGATGGCGTATAGCTGCCAAGGCCAATAGAAATAGAATGCAAGAAATTTCATGTATGAAAGCCCCAAAAAATAATGGAGAATTATATAAAGCTGTTACCAAAAACAAAGACAGAGTTTCTGGCAAGCATTAAACAAAAAAGACGAAGAACTTAAACCGACATTAAGAAGAACAGTTTGGAATGCAGCAACAACCTTCAAACTTGATCAGGATTCATGTGATGTTGACATGTCTAATGATTTACTGTTGGTATAGCCAAAACTTTACTTGGTTGATCTAATTAGATTATAATGAAAACTTATGTGTGTAAATATGTTGCATAAATGTAATACTCCCTCCTTCCCATATCTTTCTTCTCACTGTCCTTTTTGGACCGTCCCATTTGACTCTTCCCGTTTCCTAAAATGGAAATAAAGTACACTTAAAGTTACCCTTTTACTCCTTTCTTATTTTACTGTTTCTCTCTCTCCTCCATCCTCTTTGAACTCTTCGTTCTTCACTCAGACACCCCACATCCCTATTTTTCTTCTACTCCTACACTGCGCCAGTTCTGCCCCATCTCCTCTATTTTTCTTTTTTATTCTCCTACATCAGATCCCCCCTATTTCTTCCTCCTCTTCGTCACTGTCAGACCACCAACCCCCCTCCTCGTTCCTCATTCTCCTTCTTCCTTTTTCTCCTATTTCTTAGATCTGAATCCTTCTTTCATTTTTAATTTCTTCATTTTCATAGATCTGAAACCTAGATTTCATTTTTCATATCTTCAATTTTCTAAATTTGAGAAGTAGATTTGATTCTAAATTTCTTCAATTTCTTAGATTTGAAACATAATTTTTGATTTTTTCATGGCTTAACTTTAAATTTTATGGGGTATTTCAGTTTTCCATCCCCGATTAACTCATGTGCTTCAAAGATGACTTCCGTCTAAGTCAGGTCTTGATCATGAAGTTTACGCAGATTCTGGGGATGAAGAATGATGTTTCTGCAAATTTGCATCATTAATACTTTGTCGAAGAAATCATATTGCTTCAAAGATGACTTTCATCGTCATCAGGGCTTGAATTGATGTGGGGTTGAGTCTGCTTTTTCTAGAGCTAATTGAGGTATTCAGACGACAGAGGTGGAGGCTCGAATTTTTCCCAGTTCTGGATGGAGGAAGCTGGAGAGGGAGAAATCTCTGGTTATTGAAGAAATTGTGAGGTGTTGGGGTGAGGACGAAGAAGAAGGGTCTGGAGAGAAGATTAAGCCAAGGGCAAATTTGGAAAGCCAAACCTTTTTTCATTTCACATTAAAATCGTGCCAAGTCAAAACGAGAAGTTTCAACATGGAAGGAGGGAGTAGTAGAAATGGTGACCACCAGTGTGGCACTATGGTTATCATATGGTTTAATCACAAACTTCCTATCCTATCTGAAGCACACGTCACTCTATTGCCATGTAACAAGACTACAAAACTTTGTCATCAAGCCACATTTATTTTCAAAGGAAACACAGCTGAAAATAATGAATATGCCGAAGGGGGAAACATAATCAGTTAACACTCCAAATTTTCCAGGAAAATTTACCCTGTCAACTTTGTTCCCAACCAGCATTCTGATGCAATCTTGATTTGTGGAGTAAAGATCGATCTCTTTGGCCCAAATCTCACTAAGATTGGTAAAAGTATCTCGCCTTGTTACATCATAAACTGCTCAGACAAGAAAGCAAGAAAGTGATTGTGTGAGAAAAAAAATGCTATCCTATCACTGGGGCAAGAAGCCAAGAACCTTTGAAAACTGTGAAGTCAAAGAAGAGTAAATACAGCTGAACGGCACTTACTTATTTAACACATCAAGTTGCATTGGTGCAATAATGATCAATTTTATGTTTTAAGAAGATACCGTCATAGAACAAAGTAAATAAGAATTACCCATGATGATCCCTTGTGCTCCTCTGTAATACGAACTTGTTAGTGTTCTAAATCTTTCCTGACCAGCTGCAAAACAAATATCAAGATGTATTCAGCGGAAACAAGCTTCAGACCCCTAATAAACAAAACACAAGAGAAACAACCCCAACATAGGTCAAACTTTGTTGAGGTCTGGAGGGTCAAGATGTACACAGTTTTACTCCCATAATAAGCAGAGAGAATGGTGAAGTAAGAAGCTTGATGAGTTGATTTGTCAAAAGTAAAGCGATTGGTAAAAGTAAGAAGAAAGATGCACACTGTTTCTTTCTTTATGTTAGACCTTGATGTGTTGCTGCATTTACTATCCAACGAGTGCAGGAGCATACACGGGGACGGGGACGGAAAATGATAATTTTAAAAATTACAGGATGTGAGGACAGCAAGGATACGACAACAAAAAATAATAAAATACTAAATATAGAATTGTAAGTGTAAAAAAACATACTCAAATAGCATATAACAATCCAATGGCATAATATATGACAAAATGGTGAATTACTAAATACTTGTACTATCAAAAGTATCATATTTGGACATATAAAAAATTAATAAACTTAGTTTTTGGAATCATCAATTAAAAACATCACTGCTTGTCAACACTCATTTTCCAACTCCGGTTCATCAAGGGAGAGTTCTAAAAACTCTAAAAATCATGCACCATCAAACGAGCCGAACAGGAGAGTGAGGAGACCACTTCGAGACCACTTCCAAAATTCCAGAAGGCAGAAGCTCCAGAGGACGTAAATCAACAATCGCAATTTGCAAATTGCAGGTCCATGGAAAAGGTCTGATACTCTGATATGATTGTTCCAGAGGGTTTATAATTTAAAAAGAATAAGTTTCCTAAATCCTAATCACGGTTGGGCTTCCAACTGATAGTCTGTAGTCTGTAGCTCTGTACTCTGTACACGTAAAAAAATCAATTAATTGGGTCAGGGTAGCAGGTCAAAGAGTCTATCCACACACGGTACGCACCCTGCAACCCAATTCCGTGTGCAGTAACTTGGCGACAATTCCAGTCCCTTTGAGACATTTCCGAATCGTCAGCAACCGCCCCCTAAGCCGCATCCGTCCTGCAACGGTTCGGCGCGCCAAGCGGCACTCAAATGGCAAACCCGTGCATCCTAGCTTCCCAAGACTTTATACAAAGTAAGAAGTAAAGAATGTTTAATGTGCCATTTTGATCAAGTTCATATTCACCCGAAGATAAAAGATTGTCAATAATGACTTTTAGCTCCCTTGGCAATGGGCCAAAATTAGCAAAATGCATGCTCATAAAATACTGAACACTCACTAATACTCAAAGAGGCATCTTCTTATTAATCTGGTTCGGGAAGTGACTAATTAATACTCAAAGAGGCATCTTCTTATTAATCTGGTTTTGCTAGTCAATGCAAATGGATAAGCAAATCTGAATTGAGTTAACTTTTTCTAGGAACATTTTCTTGACAAAATAAAATGATGAATACTCTGACAAGTGCATCAGCATCTGCATCACATAATCATTGAACTTCATCATATCCCTCATTGTTTCTGTAGTGGGTGACATAAGTTTGCTCTAAGGAAAATGGAAAAGCCTACAGGACATGATCACCATGTTTTACAGAAAATTTTTAGTGGATAAAGTTGCATCCGTCGTTGGCAAGGCAAGAGTTGTGATAAAATATCTTAGTTGGTGAAGCACACCCAAGATAACTTTATTATGAATATATTAAACGATATTGTAAGCAGGTCACTTTCTCTTAGACAGTTAGACTAATACATTTATATATCTTTTGTATATTTATACTTTATGATACTCCTTACTAGATATTTTTAAAAGAAATAAAGGCTTCCAGAGAGATATTTGAATCGGTACACTGCACCAGTCTAACTAAGACAATGTATGTATTAGTCAAGTCAAAACTATATCAAAATAAGCCCCTACAGCAGACATATATACTCGACCTATATGGCTATATCCCTGAACTTTTTAAAATCTTTTTCTCTTTAGTTCATCTATATATTCCAGTTATATCTTAGATCCTAAGTTGTAATATATGAGCAAAATTAATGATAATGAATTACATGAAAATCACAACAAAGATTCTAAGACCCAGTATTTCCCTACGAATGGTAACCATACTGTTCAATGGTATCTTACTTTTCTAATTAAATCCTTCTGCTGCTTTTCTATTAAAAAAATCAAAGCTACTTGGAGGATCATCAAGAGAAGGTTAACACAACTCAAACTTTCCTGTGGTCGTCACATCTCGTGTGTGTCACCGTTAGTCACGAGTACGACTACGACATCCACGCATTAGCACGTGCCCGTGTTTCACCTGTTTCAAGACTTGCTTTACAGAACGGAAACAAGGAAGTCCTTATAGGCATACAAACAGCATTTCCTGGTTCTACTCGGGTATTTAAGAAACTTCAAAGTTTGAAGAAATACCAACAGAGACTTGATTGGGAATATGCTGTGAGACACCTCCAAAACAATTAGCTCCAAGTGATAAATTCGTTGCGGTTGTTTCTCTTGTTAAACATGGACATGAGTGTAACCATGTCTCTCTTGTAATCCTGAGTGATAACTTGGTTCCCAACTGCCACACGGACCTTTACGAGGCATCTTCAAGTTTCCTCAGTTTCAAAAGGAGTTCAAACTTTAGAGACTGAACATTCTGCTCTTGATTCATAATGCATTAGTGGGTGATTCAAACACGAGGAGGCCACCGAGTGTTATGTGTACAAGAGAATGCTTGGGTTAATGGGGTGATGGAGGTGTTGTGTGTGTGTGAAGCTGTCTTGCCTATGATGAGAAAGGGTAGGGAGAGGTAGAAAAGAACTTGAAATTTCATGGAGTTTCCTCTACATAATTGCAAAATTTTGGTGTCTTTATTCTGAATGCATAGCTCCATTTTTAGAGCAGGGATTATAACGTTCATACTAGCTTAAACAAATAGACTTCCAACCCATCAGCAGTCCATCTTCAGGCTATGCGTCCCTTCCAATTTCAGTCTTTTCCTTTGCAGGCTTTGTCTCTGAATGTAAAACTTTTCTTAAAGCTTGAAAGTGAGATATTGGCGTTAAAAATCATGTAAGGACTCTCCTAAGTGGCAGTGTGGCACTACGTTTGGGCAATCTAATCCACCCGACCAAAAGTTCTCGTGCAACTAAGATTAAGATGTGCCCCCAGTATGCTATCCGGTTCAAGAATAAAACGGCCTTCTGCAAATAGAGAAAGGATAGGCGTGTGGGAAGGCAGAGTACCCTAGAACTGGTTCAAATTGGAGCATCAAAAAAATGTTATGAACCTGCATTCAACGAGAAGTTCTAATATTTATGTCATCAGCCCAATAAATTGGAGAATACGGACGAGACCATGCCAACATGGGGATAACTTGTGGAATTTTAGTTTTGACCAGAACTTTGACGGTAGAATGGCAGCCAATACCAACCCCGCTGATCAAACTAAAAAGTCACCTCCTTGTGATGGTGATCATATTATTCCCTCATACAAGTTTGAGCAACGTGAAGTCATGAAGGTGGTACTGAAACAATCCGTCAACAGTCCAGTTCATAAAGCAGCATGTGAAATGAACCACACCTACATATATAAGCTTAAATTAGGTTGTGCGAGCGCAGAATGAAATGGTGTTGTAGCAAAATTCTGACAAAAGTAGCCTGTGTACCCAACACTTGGGATGGTCACATCGTTCATCAGTGTTTGGAAGGCAGATGGTATGTGAGCCAAGCCAAACGGTATGGCAAGGAGCTCGGAGTAGTCATGATGTGTGACATGTGTCAGAAAAGCTGTTTTTAGTACATCATATTATGATAAGGTCTGGTTAGGTGAGGATTTTGGCACCAAACCATGCCCTGAACAGTTGATACAATCCACGGGATCAAATTGACCCCATCTCTTTGAGTAATATTGATTGTAGAGATGAATGGTTGATGGGAGGAATGCAAGAAATTTGATGAAGAAAACTGACCAATATTTAGGGGTGAACATTTGGCATAGGAGCTTGTTGATAAGGCTAATGGAGCAGATGAAACCACATACTCCTTTTGTCACACAAAAAACTTCACAGGTCTGCTATATACGACTAAATGAGAAAATGTGAATTGTGACCGTCTGACCGGTCATGAGTGAGGTGGAAACATGTGTATACCAATGACTAAATGAAAAGTTAGGTTATGAATGAATACAAAGATTCTTCTCTTTTTCCTTCCTTTAAGTGTGTAGGCTTAGCCAAAGAATAAAATCCAAAAGTACATAGTGCCTATCTTTTTGGTTTCAAGGGTGTAGATATATTCCATCAATGCTAGAGGAGATCTCTATACCTTTGCAATGCTTAATGGCAATTAATCCTCGCATCAAATGATTCCATCAGGTATCTCCATAGCTATAAAACACATTACACTTAGAGACCACATGTCTGTTATCAATTGTTTAGAAAAAGTCAAGGCCTCATTGGGTTTAGGCGAACCTAGATTCTTTGGGTTCGATTTGGGGTTCACCACTTCACCTCATTCGGGAAGCATTTTGGTGACAAAATAGTTTATGGAGAACTTGGATTCACCTAATACACCATCTGGAAACCCATTTTCCATTTGAGTTATCTTTAAGACTTAAGTAGTTTCCGGGCAACTTTTTGTTAAATTCACCAAGGCTAACCTAATTATTATATATAATCATTATTTGTATATATACATCTGGATTCACCTATACACCTAATTTTCACTCAACTACTCCAGCACACCCTCCGTCCCCCAAAAAAAGTTCACAGATTTCTCTTTTTAGATTGTCTCAAAATAAACTGCTTGGATCCTTTTAAAGAAATCATTGTATGGCGTATTTACCTCTGCATAAACTTTGGCAACAAAATTTCACTTTCACAAACAATGTGAAAAAAGCAAATGGGAAGTTTAATTTGGAATGGGTGGAGTAATAATAATCATGTTTACTTAAGTACAACCAAAACAAATGGGGCCTAACATCTTATCAAATTTATTCTATGAGTTCCCAAGGATATAACAAAGGATTTTTTTTCCTTTATATTTTCTTTGATCCCTTTTTTGTTCATTCAAATCCAAAAATCATGCTGCATAACATCATTTACCATATCTAATAGTGTAGCTTCTTTGCAATAAAGACGGATCCAACACATTCATGTAAACTATAAGAGAGATCAAGATGACTAGAGAGCTCTTAAACCAATGGTCCAGTAGTCAAGTACAGTGGGGAATTTATTTTCTCACTTCTTAGATTCCCAAAACAACATATGGAAACCTAAAAATAAAATCATAAAGATGTGACAATTGTCGATGTTGTGATGGGGTTCTCCAGAAAAGCTGTGTTGCATAAGTGCATTGCATCACATATTCACATGCAATGGATAGTTAATACAAGAATGTAATCACAAAAGTTGGGGCTAAAAGTAGCAAAAGGAGTATTGAGTGATTGACTATTGAGTGGTACTAATGTACATCTAAGAATGAAAGGAAAATTCTAGAAAAACATAGTTAGACTGGCATCATATTACAAATTACTATATTAGGATGAAGATGTACGACAATGAGGCAAATGAAAAGATGAATATGTGGTAAATCTAGAAAAAATATGATTCACAATGGGGAGAGGCCAAATACATGTGAAAGTAGGATCAACGATTGTTGAAGAAGAACTTGGAAAAAAACTGTTCATAATAGTTTGGGCACATTTTGCATAGAGAGGCAAACCGCAAGTGCTCTAGTACGTCCTTATGTATGGCAGAGTATTCAAACATGATGGATCTAAACAGAAGTCATTGATATCCAAAATGACACATTATGCAAGTAAACCAAGATACGGAGTATTAATTATTAGCACATTAAGATCTAAAAGGAAGCACACAAAGGCTGAAAGTGACAAAATGTGGGTTGAACGTTTTTAGGGCATTGGGCTCATAATCAGTAAATCACGTAGGTGCATGTCAAGGGAGAGCATAAAATGAAGGTACTTGTGGACCACCTTCATAAATAATTAAATTATGTAATTATGTGACAGAGTGTTGTATTTGTCAGACTATGTTATATGGGCATAATGTTGTTTTCCAGTTAAGAATGCCAACCTGCAAAAGCTAGGGGTGTAGAGCTCAGATGTTTGGGTGGATATTTAGTTTTACTATGAGGCATAAGATTATGAACGATGATCTGCGGGATAAGGTAGGAGTGGTCTCAATGGAGGATAGGATATGTGAGTCAAAGTTGAGGTGGTTCCCAGTTCCCACATATGCAGAGGAGTACTGTTAGAAGTTGTAAGAGATTAGCAGAAGGTAATCTGAAAAGAGGTAGAGAGCTAGAGGCAAGCCATGGAAGATCAAGAGTGAAGTGATTAGACATATGCAGCTATGTTGGGTCTTCCTCCCGCTCTAGGTGATTTGGGTTCCACGGGATAGCTGAGTTTGATGGGTGCTTTTAGTATTCCTCTTCCTCGGTGTTCAAGTATCATCTTTTTTGTCCTCATATTCATCTTACCTTCGCTTTTCATTTACGAGATTGGTCAAATGTGCTCCCTCTATCTCAGAGTATTTGTCTAGTTTGACTTGCATAAGAATTACAATACGCATTAATATACGGAGTAGTAAAATGATTTAATAATTTTTTCAAATTCTTTTGCAAGATAAATCTAATGAAATCCTATTTGAACAAGTATGCAATGCAATTTTTATATCAAATTTTGTCTAATTTGATAAGAAAAAGTCATACTGGACAGATATTGTGGGATGAAGTTAGTATTTCTTTTGTTCTTGTGAGCAAGGATCTTTCAGAAAGAGCCTCTTTGCCCCACAGACCCCACTTGAGGGACTTCATTGGGTTTGTTGTTGTCACTATGAGATCACAACAATACATAAAAGGTTCGACAGAAGAATTCACATATCACAACCATGCCCTGGATGTTACCTGTATCCCAGATTGCCAGCTTCAGCTTTTTCCCTCCAATATTCTCATATTTCACCTTAAAGTCCACACCTGCAATTATAGAGACCAGCATATAGTAGGTTCGGAATGGTCTTAAAATGATCAAAGAAACAGCTGAAACTTTCAATGGTGAACTATAAGTTGAAAAGGCATGCATATTTGCAAACCCACTGCCTAATCTTAACACGCTAGTATGATTCCGGGGGAAGGGGGGATCAAATGCAGGGGAAAGCGTTATAAAGTACTCAAATTGAGCGCACGCGAAAATCAGAAATGCGGTAAAGTAGAATGTGCATATTACCTATTGTGGGGGAGAGATCCTCGAAGGTTTCAGATGTGAAGCTGAGGAGAAGAGAGCTCTTCCCGACGCCGGAGTCTCCGATCATCAGCAACTTGAACAGGTAATCAAAGTCGGGGGATTGACTGTTCGTCTCCATGACTCCGCCGCTGCGATGATGAATGGTTACACAATTTGCAATTCTCAAACTTGAACGGAGTATATAAGTTATTCAAAATGTATGCGGGAGTATAAGGTATAGATGGATCGAGGGTGCAACTGTATCTGTATGAGGAGGAGGAAGAAAAGAAAGATAAAGGTATCGAAAGCCGAGTCTCAACTCGGAGATCCAACTCAACGGAACAGCTTCTCTCTACTGGCCTTTTCTCAAGACTTCGCACGGAATCTTCAGGCGGTCGGTAGTTACGTGTTTGGTAAATGGCGGTTCATAGCATTTGGGCATATTTGACCATAAACGGCGGATTGGACTAGTCAAACCGCTAAATTAATTGTTTGGATAATGGCTTTTGGAATTGGCATTTAAAACCGAAACGCCAAAATTTGAAATGCCAACCCTAGCAGCATTTCATTTAGCAGTTCACCCCCTTTTCCGTTTCCTACCCTTTTCTCGGTGTTGCGTCTCTCTGCGATCCTCACGGCACCGGAATTTGTGTAGGTATCATGTAGAGTATTTTTATATATTTATGATATCATATTTAAAAAATTATAAAATAAAATATATCATGCATTGTTGTTATTTGTAGAATGATAAATGAGAAAAATTCAAAAAAAAAATCTACTTATAAAATATAAATGTAAATTCTCATTTCTTAAATTAAAAAAACGAAGTAGCCTTTTTTGTCCAACAAAAAAAATATATGATATCATATTTAAAAAATTAAAATTGGTGTAGAGTATATTAAAAATATATGATACCTCGTATCATATTTAAAATTGGTGTAGAGTATTTTTATATATTTATGATATCATATTAAAAAATTATAAAATAAAATATATCATGCATGGTTGTTATTTGTAGAATGATAAATGAGAAAAATACAAAAAAAAATCTACTTATAAAATATAAATGTAAATTCTCATTTCTTAAATTAAAAAAAACAAAGTAGCCTTTTTTGTCCAACAAAAAAAGTATGTAAAGCATTTTCTTTTATAATGTGTGTATTTTATCAAATTAAAAAAATTAAAATCATACACAAAATAACATAAATGGTGGGATGTCCTTATATGTAATTTTACCCACAAACAGCTAAAGTTGCCAAACATCTAGTTTTAAACAGCTAACAGAAACAGCCGGTCAAAACAGCTAACTCAATCAGCCATTCAAATTAGCCAACATAAACAGCCAACTGCCATGTTCCAAACAAGGCCAGTATGTAAATCATTGTATTTTAAGAAATATATTTTAAGATATAGAACTCTTATTTTGATATATTTTCAATGTTTTAGTCTTATTTTGGTCTTTCTTTCCTTTGATTTCTTAAAAACCTCTTGTAGACTATATTTTAAAATGATTAAAATCTGATTCTATACAACATAGATTTTCTATTCTCAATTTATTCAAATTACTTATTACGTATTTTTATAAGAATTAGATTAAATTATAAACAATTTGAAATATAACTACATCCAGATGAGATCAAAAACATAATCCAATCACATCAGGTGTAGAGAACAAGTTCTTATTCTTATTACTTATATTTATTAGAATAAAATATTAGATCATTATCAGAAACATCTTTAGCTATATTAATCTTATCAGATTGAAACCAATCTCAAAATCATCAAAAAGATCAAGAAAACCGTACTGAAAAATCCAAATCAAAAAAAGTGCCGCGTAAAAAATCAAACACTACCGAAAACGGTCCGTTTGTTCTTTTGGGAACGATACGTGGTACATTCTCATACGCGAAAATCTCGGACTGAATATATACGTATGTATGTCTGTGTGTGTCTATATATATATATATATATATATATATATATATATATATATATATATATATATATATATTGGTTCTGGTGAGAATGCAATCTTAAGAGAGAAATGAGAATGAATCTGGTGCTTTAGATTGTGAGATCTAAGGGTCAAGATTTCATCAAAATTTGATGCACCAAAATGGTTCGAAAATGCATCACGTCGAAATGTACCATAAACCTTCGAAAATGCACTATCTCAAAATCTGAGCGCAGGATGCAATCTGAGCCGCACGATGCACCAGATCCGACGGCTAGATTTTATTCTCATTTCTCTCCACAAGGTGCATTCTTACGGGAACCGGCCCCTATATATATATATATATATATATATATATATATATATATATATATATATATATATATATATATATATATATATATATATATATATATATATATATATATATATATATTTTGGATCAGGTGAGAATTCAATCTTATGAAAGAAATAAGAATGAATCTGGTGCTTTAGATAGTGAGATCTAAGGGTTAGGATTGCATCAAAATTAGGTGCACCAAAATGGTTTTAAAATGCATCATGTCGAAATGCACCAAAATCCTTTAAAAATGCACTATCTCAAAATCTGAGTGCAGGATGCAATCTGAGCCGCACGATGCATCAGATCCAAAGGCTAGATTTTATTCTTATTTCTTTCACCAAGGTGCATTCTCACCTGAACCGCCCGCTATATATATATATATACATATATATATATATATATATATATATAGTTTCAGGTGAGAATGCAATCTTATGAAAGAAATAAGAATGAATCTGGTGCTTTAGATTGTAAGATCTAAGGGCCAGGATTGCATCAAAGTTAGGTGCACCAAAATGATTTGAAAATGCATCATGTCGAAATGCACCAGATTCCTTTAAAAATGTACTATCTCAAAATCTGAGTGCATGATGCAATTTGAGCCGCACGATGCATCAGATCCAAAGGCTAGATTTTATTCTTATTTCTTTCACTAAGGTGCATTCTCACGTGAACCGCCCCCTATATATATATATATATATATATATATAGCATAAAAATCATAAAAATTGGAACAAGAAAACTGAAATATCTCAAACATGAATGTATTTTTAGAAACTGGTAAGAGAATGTTTACCAAACACATGTCGAAGCATGAAAACAGAGGCGGGACAACAAGGCTCCTCCATTTTATGACCAACCAAACACATAATCAAGAACATTAACGAATGCGAGTAGAGCAAAAAGGCTATGAAAGAAGTCCAGAGCGGGGAAGTGGAACGAACACTCCCGAAGATACCCATCACAATGCAGACTATAAGAATGACAAGAACTTCGGATGAGAAGTCCCATGTCAATCCTCTTGCATAAACAAGAGCCCAGAAAACCGAAAGACAAAGGACATTGTTCATAGTCACTGCTCCATATAACTCAGAAAATGTTAATGATGCAGATTGTTAGGGTATATAACAATCATTCCTGAGCCACAACCACAAGCTTGAGCTTTTGGTTGAGCTGGTTCCTTGACATGGTATCGGAACCTTCGTTGACTAAGAGGTCACGGGTTCAAAACTTAGCGCCACCCAATTTTGAAAAAATTAAGGTTTCACGTGCAAGGCTCAAAGAGGTCACACCTGCACGTGAGGGGGCGCGTTAGAGTATATAACAATTATTCCTAAACCACAAGCTTGAGTTTTTGGTTGAGCTGGTTCTTTTCACAATTTCCTCATCACCTTCATCACATTGATTCCCCCCAGCGCTTAGTAGATAATGATCCCTCCTTGTTTGCTCATGATAATAATCAAGATATTTAAATGTTCCTGGTGTAGCTCTGGAAGCTTGGATCTCATCAAGCCATTTACCAACACCAGCAACAAACTCTTCAAATTCAATACACTGAGTATATGAGGAATCAAAGTCCTTCATTAGATTCGATATGGCATCATTTTCGTCTAGGTTAATCTCTTCAAGACGGATTCCCACGACCAGAGCTCTTAACTGATAAGTCGGGTTTGGTTTGGTGTTTTATTCTTTTTTAGGCATTTTTAATATTTTTAGAGTTTAATTTTTAGTTCTTTTAGTTGTTTTATTTTAATTCTGATTTTCTTGAATAAATAGTAGTTTTTAATCATTTTTTTAAACATTATATTATTTTTATTTTATTTTTCCTAACCCAAAATTATCAATAACTAATTAAACTATTCTAATTAACTATCTGTATCATCTTGGTATGAGCTAAATACTGTACCATACTCACTCTTATTATCTTTAAACTAAATTTATATTCGAACCCCTGAAATTTACTACGTAAGTACGAGTGCATGTTAATTCTAAATAGTTTTTAAAATTAAAGGGAAATTATTAATTGGTCTGAGGTTCACACTCATTTTACCAATCTTAGTACATAAACACTATGAAACAATGGAGTCTTACAAAAAATGGACCATTTGTCAACCCATAAAAATATTAAAAGGTCTACATTTTACAATTTACATGTGGATCTTAAGAACACAAAGCATAACTCAGAATTAAAAGGTGTTTAATTCATACTACCTCCGTCCCGCTATATTTGTCCACTTTTGACTTTTGGAACTGTTCATCTAAGTACTTTGACTCATCAAATTCTCTCAATGTGTAAGCCTAAATATAGTCATGTGTGATCTTGTTTGATTTGTCTTAACATATAGATTATTAATATATAATTTCTATAATTTTTTAATATACAAATTACAAGATAAAATAGAATAAAGAAGTGCATTGGATGGTGTGCAAAAATGAAAGTGGACAAATACTTTGGGACGGAAGGAGTATATAATACCTTCATCCAAGTGTATTTGACTAGCTTGATTTTTTAGTCAAACAAAAAGAACTTTGAGCTTCAATTACTCTCATTTTGTATTGCATATTGATACTGTAACGCCCTGAAACCCGGTATATTAGAATTGATTAAGTTCATTAATTAATTACTAACTCGAACCGGGGTTAGAAAAATAAAGTCTGCCCATCAACACCACGTGATCCCTTGTGGGCCCTTTCACGCGAACACCCCCCCCCCCTTGCGAGACCACGGGTTGTGAGTCCAGCCGTGGTCATGTTCACGGTCAGTGATCATTATGTTTTTTTGCTTTCAACGATCATTTGGACCAAAATTAAAAAAAATAATTTAAAATATAATAAATTCAAATTTGAAACGAGACTATGCCTAGATTTTTTATATTTGATATATTTTTATTTCTACCATGTTTTTTTCATGTTTTCCTTTCATGTTTTTTCTTAATTTAAGTAATACGCATGCGAGTATTTTTATTTTATTCATGTAATATATGCGCTTTTTATTTAAATGTCTTTTGTTTTTTGGTGCATGAATTTGTTATAATATAAAAAGGGAAAATATTAATAACAAAAAGAAACTAATATTTACAAAAATAATAATGAAAATAAAATAATAATAAAAAAATAAATTTTTATTATTTTGTATTATTATTTTATAAATGGTACGAGTCGAACTTAATGTTAATTGAAATAGGTAATTATTTATATAAAAAATAAAAGTGTAATAATTACAGTAGATGTGAGGCAGTATAAGTATGAAGTGAGTGAGATTTTGAGTATAGTTAGTATTGATGTGACGTTGAATGACTACTGATTAGGAGTGAGTGGTGGTGAAGCCCTATAGATAACTTAATCATAGTTTTCAGAACCGAACCGGTCAAGTTACTAGTTCACTGGTTGAACCAGTAATTCAAGCATATTTTAATGTGTGTAAGTATATGTGTCGATATATATATATATATATATATATATATATATATATATATATATATATATATATATAAGTTATATGAGTAAACAAAATAATATTTCCTCTATTTAGAAATAAATAATTATGATATTTGACTAAAGTTATAATCAATTTTATTTAATTCAGTTGTGGCATTAAATTGAAAAATAAAATTTATGTGTTTTAAAGTTTTATAAAATAAAAATTGATATGATTTTTTCAAGTAATTTTTCCAATATTTAAAATATATATAAATAAAATATTTGTGTGATATGCCCTTCATATTAATATCAATGGTTTAGATTTTGAATGTTAGATTAAAACCCACATATAATACATTATATTTTTCAAAGTTTATTTCAAAGTTATTTTGTGTGATCCGCCTGCTTGTATTTCGCACTTAATTGGTTAATGACATGTTGTTCTTTGCTTCAAAAAAAAGTTTATACTTAAGGAATATTTGATACAATAATTAAACCAAATGTTCAAATTGATCACAACAGACATTATAGCACAACAGGTAAAATGGCATTGTAAGGTCAATGATGTTAGGGGTTTGATCCCATGTCATCGGAAGTTTTGAAAACATTCGCAAAAAAAAAAAAAACTGGTTGGGGGGTTTAACCGGGGATTCTATCCAATTCCTGGCAGTTCCATGTTAATGACGGTCTCAAGGGCTAGACCCGACTGGTTTGGTATCTGGTTCGTCGGTTCAAAGTCCGAACCGGCCGATCCGGTTTTTAAAAAACTATGAACTTAATAAAAAAGCACCAGTTCCATGTTAATGACGGTCTCAAGGGCTAGACCCGACTGGTTTGGTATCTGGTTCGTCGGTTCAAAGTCCGAACCGGCCGATCCGGTTTTTAAAAAACTATGAACTTAATGAACGAACAATGGTGGCATTGGTCAAAGAAAAAATTTGTCAAAGGGGAGAGGGTATTAAATTTAGGGACGGTGTAGGAGGCGAAATTGGCGTGAATAAAATTTAGGTCTACCATATAAACTTTAATAAATGGGCAATGCTAGGTTCACAAACAAAATACTCACAAACTTTACAAATTTATTATTTATGATTTAAATTTTCATTTTAAAATTATTTTAGACTATTTAATTTTATTTATTAAAGTTCACAAATAATAAGTTTGTGAAATTTGTGAATATTTTGTTTGTGAACCAAGCATTTTCCTTAATAAATACTACCTCCGAGTGTATTTGTAAGTCATACTGGACAGACTTTGAACTCCAATTACTCTCAATTTATATTGCATATTAGCGTTGATGGTGTAAATTATCGACCGGTATATCGTTTTTAGCCCGGCTAAAACGATAAACTAGTCTAAAAAATACACCAAACTATAAACACGGGGATTTTTACGTGGAAACCCAAATCGGGAAAAAACCACGGGCCTTTTTTGGCGGTACCTTGCCAACGGGGGATTTTTATTAATATCGGGGGTGTGTACGTGGTACAAGAGTTGGGCTCGGAAGCCATTAATGGTGGAGCTAGAAGCTCTTGAAGAAGAAGAAAATATGCTATCTAGAGAGAGAAAGAGTGAATGGCAGGGGAGAGTGTAAATTTGGCCTCCACTTCACATTGGGGGCACTCCTCCTTTTATAGGAGGGAGGAGGAGCATCTTCGGAGGAATATTCTCTTATTCCTCTATTTTATTAAACAGGCCCGGTTTGACTATTCTTCGTAAAATAATTGGGAAATGTGGGCCGAGCCACGTATTATTTCCCATCAAGCGTAATGAAATACAATTTTGAAAGTTCTCAATATGATGAATCCAATAAAGTTATTTTTATGCTAAATACATTACGATTTTTATTTAATTGAAGCTCAAAGTTTGTCCAGTTTGACTCGAAAAAGTCAAACTGGACAAATACATTGGAACGGATGGAGTACTCCGTAATTCATTCTTTTTATATCTTTCTTTTCATTTAGATTTTAAGGTCAAATTTTTTTAAACTTTGATTATAAATTACAATAAAATATTGAATTATAAGATTAGTGCATTTAGTTTGAAATGTACTTTTGAAATATATATTGTCTTTAAAATTTGGCAAATTTTATGGTGGATCTAAGGTTCACTTTGGACTTATATGTAAGCAAAATAAATATTTTGTTATTACTTAAATAAGCATTTGTTTTTTCAATAAAAAATAAAAAAAATTATGTGAGAAGTTCTAGAAAAATAATATGCATTCAAGGTGCACCAAAGGAACATACTTAAAATTTATATTTACATATAAATAAAGATATTAGTGATAGAAGGGTTAAAATAGAGTACGGAGTATTTTTAAAACAGGTAAAAACGCGGTGTTTTAGAATACTACTAGATCCGTGAAATAAGGCGTGACAGTTCCAATCCATTCCACTCCCTATTTTCTAAGCACTCCAACATTCTCTCTTTCTCTTCTCTCTCTTTCTCTCCTGCATCTGTCTCCCACTAAATCACGACTTTACCATTCGTGCGTTCCGATTCTTCATCTATCATTTTCATACCTATTTACTGCAATTTACATATATATATATATATATGTGTGTGTGTATCATGGGCATGTATGTACGTACATAATGATGCATATATATACATATAGATAGATATATAGATACAGTTGTAGTATATATGAACATTTGATAGAATAATGAAAGGAGAGTTCTCTCTATTCAGCGCCATCAAGGCGCCCTTCACCAGACCACCGCCATGGCTCATCCTCCTCTTTTTCCTTCTCTTCGCCGCCACATTTCTCTTCCGATTCCATATTTCCAGGGGCGACGAGGCGGCCGCGATCTTCCCCGATTTTATCTCCGGCGGCCGGCGGGGGAAGAGGATCGGCAGCTGCTCGCAATTCTTTACGCCGCCGGTCGATCGGGACGGCCGGAAGGCGGTGGTCCGGTCGATCACGGACTTCGGGGGAGTCGGAGACGGGAAGACGTCGAATACGGCGGCGTTCCGGAGGGCGGTGGGGTTCATGGAGAGTTTCCGGGAGAGGGGTGGGTCCCAGCTTAATGTTCCTGCTGGGCGTTGGCTGACCGGGAGTTTCAACCTCACCAGCAATTTCACTCTCTTCTTGCAACGCGGGGCTCTCATTTTGGGTTCTCAGGTACTAATGCTAATACTAACTTTCATAGGAGAAAGACCACCAAAGTAGGACTAAAACATTGAAAATATACTAAAAGAGGACTTCTATGTTTTTATTCCCAAAATAGGACTTACATTACCCTACATGGTCATATATATTACCAAAAAAGTATAGTAATTTGCACATGTACACTGCCACATTACAACAGGACAAAGTCACATAATCACAGTGCAAAGTCTTATTTCGGGAAAAAAAACATGAAAGTCCTATTTTGATACTTTTCTCTATGTTTTAGTTCTATTTAGGGTGATTCCTAAACTTTCATCCATTAAACAAAAAAGACAATGTATTTTCATATGAAAATAACTTCTAAAATAACCCAAAACAACTTCTACCCTCAATAAACTATGAAATATAGTGTATTTTAGACATTTTAAGTGAGTTAAAGTGTTTGAGGGATTAACGAAAAATAAGGGCAGAAGTATTTTGTGTATCATAAAGAGTACAAAGATAATCTCTATATTGAAGTGTGATGGTCTTGGGAAAACACGTGAGGGGCAACAACCCCGCGGAGCAATGTTATAGGATTGGTATTTGAAGAACGTGAAAAACGACTTGATAGACTTAGCGAACTGCATATAAACGTTTTCAAGTTAAAGTTATTTCAGAGTATTTCAGAATACTTCAATCGGATAAGATGTAGACCTTGTTTTGATGTTGGCTGTCAGCTGTTGGCTATTGGCAGTTCGTGCCAGCTATTGTGAATGTCTGTTTAGTTTAGCTGGTTTGACCGGCAGGATGAATTGGCTGATCGTTAAAAATGTTTGGTAAAATTAGCTGTTTGAAACTAGTTTTTCCTATATATATATATATATATATATATATATATATATATATATATATATATATATATATATATATATATATTCAAGTGAGAATGCGATCTTATGAAAGAAATGAGAATGAATCTGGTGCTTTAGATTGTGAGATCTAAGGGTCGGGATTGCATCAAAATTAGGTGCACCAAAATGGTTTGAAAATGCATCATGTCGAAATGCACCATAATTCTTTAAAAATGCACTATCTCAAAAATTGAGTGCAGGATGCAATCTGAGCCACACGATGTATCAGATCCAAACGCTAGATTTTATTCTTATTTCTTTCACCAAGGTGCATTCTCACTTGAACCGGTCCCTATATATAGATACACACACGATATTTATTTTTCATTTTTTTACATGTAAAACTTAAATCTTTACTATATTAGTTTCATTTAATTCATAAGAAATTATTAATATACAACTTTTTAATGATTGTTACTTTTTATTTTCTCTTTTCATTTTTTTGAAATTTTTAAATTTTTAATTTTATTTTTTTCAGTATTTATTTTTAATTTTATTTTTAGTTTTTACATATATTATAAAATATCTTTCAAGAAAAATGACTTTAAAAAAATCAATTTTCTAACATCTAAGTCCAAAAGCTACTCCCCTTGGCATTTCAGAGTTTGGCTTTTCGGATCAAAATGGTTTTAGCTATTCGCTCAGTCAAAAAAGCTAAAGTCAGTCAAACATGCCAAAAGATATCCAAAAAGCCATTTTCCAAACACGACCGTAAGTAATCTAGAACGAGTGTGGAATTTCCGTTGTATCTCGAAACATACCAAGGTGTTATATTTATAGGTGAATTTCGAACGGACGCACTGATTGATGAAATAACAAAGTTTTGGGCAACATTGAATGTTGGTGCTTTAACATTCGAATGTTTGATGGCGGATTGGGTTGAACGGTTACATCTACCGTTAAGTGCAGACCGTTGCAACTTATAGTGAAATATTCAAGTATTTGGGTTCAAACATTTGAATGTATCGATCAGTTTCCCACATGATGGAGAGGATAAACAAAACATTTAGATGTATTGATTTGTAAATTCGAATGTTCATTATTCTTAACTCCATATTCAAAAACTAAAGAATTTTCATAAAGCAATGATGTCCAAAATAAAATTTTCTTAACTTTCCCGGTACCCTAGCCAGGGTCTCTGCCCCTTGGAAACCGCTCCCCGGGATTGCGCCCTTGGATCCCTGCTATAAAATTTATAATATCGCTCAAGAACTTGCAGATTGTATATTACGGAGTATTAAATTTTATCATGAATAATCATTATTTTACTGAATTTCAATAAAAAATTTCAATTTTTAAGTTAAATATTTATTATCTTAGTTTTTATTAATAATCATTACCTTGTTTATATTTTCACCACAAACAAATTGTGAAATACAAAAGTTGCTTGTAGCAATAGAACTTTTAATGGTAATGATCAAATAGACATAGTGTATCCTCAAAGTACATTACCATAAATTTTAACGACAGAGTATGCTTCAAATAATGTAGGACCTCGATGTTCGTACCAGTAAATCAGGTATACCCCAGAGTAATTTTCTAAATTTATTCCGTATAACTTTAGATAACATGATAGAATAATTATACAACAAAGTAAGAATTAAGCCACTTGTGCACCAAAAGTTGTGCCCTAATTATACACCACAATTGTGCACATTCATTTTGTGTCAGTGATGCTAGTACAATTTTTTTTGAGTAAATTCTATAATTGGTCCTTTATAACAGGGGGTTTCTCTAATTAGTCCTCTATTATCAAATATTATCCAAGTGATCCTTCTTTTATGGGTATCTTTCCACAAATAGTCCTTTTTTGATCTTCAATCATGTTGCTGTTAATTTGAGAGCTAAAAGTGTAATTTCACAATGATTATATATCTTTTTTGTCATGCACAATTTCAAAGGCTGTTCTGTTTGCGTCGTTTGTGAATTATAGTCACTTTCTACTACAACCATAATCTACAAATGTGGTCTTTCGTCAGAACCATAGCCCACAACCATAGTCATTCTTTTTGTGTTATCTGCTTAACCAATATCAGAACACGTCACTAAACATAATGTTGATATCAAATTATACTTTTAGCCTTTAAATTAACATCAACACGACAGAAGATCAAAAAAGGACCATTTGTGGAAAGGTACCCTTAAAAAAGGATTACGGGGGTAATATTCAATAATAGAGGACTAAATATGGAAACCCCCCTATTATAAAGGATCAATTATGGAATTTATTCATTTTTTTTATTGTACTTGCATTTTGTGCTTGTATGAATCATCAAAATCTTGGTGTATAGCTTTGGTGTACATTTTGAGATATAATCTTTGATGTACCCCAAACATTGTTGACAAAATAATTACTCCCTCCGTCCCTGAGTATTTGTCCACTTTTGACATTTTTCAGTCAAAATTGGTAAACTTTAACCTCAAATTAAATAAAAATGATATTAGATATTGATACAAAAAGAGTTTTCTTAGATTTATTATATAAAATATTTTTAAAATATTATTTTATTTCATTAAAATACAATATATATTTTATTTAATTATAAGTCAAAGATTGAAAACTGTTGACTGAAAAAAGTCAAAACTGAACAAATACTCTGGGACGGAGGTAGTATATAACAAAATGATTATACTTCTCCATCTCATAAAAAGATTTCATATTTCAATTTTTGTTTGTCCCAGAAAAAATTTACTTCCTACTTATGATATACAAGTAGTTATTGTTGCCCATATACTTTTGTTTTTCTTTCTTAATCAAGTCAAACATGGAATCTTTTGGATTAGTTATTTTTTTAAAAAAAAATCGGAAGATAAACGGGTATATTATCATCATTGCCCCCCACCCCCCCCCCCCTATTTGAAGGCTAAACGGTTTGGTTCTATTTGTGATTGCTTCATGGAATTTGTTTTCGTTTCTCAATAATGTAAATTGAAATGTAGAACCCAGAAGAGTGGCCTATCATCGAGCCATTGCCATCTTATGGAAGAGGAAGAGAAAGATTGGGAGGGAGACATATTAGTCTTATTCATGGAAATGCTCTTTCTAATGTGGTAATTACAGGTACACACATTTATATATTGCTTCTGCCTTTACACATATTATCTTCAACATGATTGAAATCAAGGTCTTATTTACTTTTCATGGAATTTAAGAAAATACAAAATTATGTGGTTGAGATTAATAGTACTCCCTAATCTTTACTTGACATTTTTACCTGAACTTTAGGGGTAGGTCCATTGATAACCCGAAAAAGTTATTAGGAAAGAAAAAAAAAGGAAGTTTTTGAACAAAAGAAAACAATGAAGAAATGAAAGACCTTTGGTGAAAATGGAATTAAGTTTCTGATGAATAAAGTTCAGTGTACTTTCAGGGGAAAATGGGAGAATTGATGGGCAAGGGAAGATGTGGTGGGAGCTTTGGTGGAACAGGACACTAAAGCACACCAGAGGCCACCTTGTTGAACTCCTCAACTCACACAACATTCTCATCTCCAACCTCATTTTCCTCAACTCTCCTTTTTGGAATCTTCATCCTGTTTATTGCAGGTCCTCTCTCTCTCTCTCTCTCTCTCTAAACAAAAACTATACCTGACCGTTGGTGGTTTCTGATTCAGTGATGTTGTGATCCGAGACGTGACAATCTTGGCTCCTCTCAACGCCCCGAACACAGATGGCATTGACGCAGGTATGTCACATCCCTTAGTTGCTCAACTAGGTCAAAATACACATTGGAGATCAAATGACACTATTAAGATTGAACACACTCGATTACCTAATCTAACCCAACACCTTATAAACTTGTATGTCTCTATCAAGAACCAACTTAACCAAAACTTGTATGGCCCACGAAAGGTTTTTAAGAACTGGGTGGCATTGAGTTTCAAACTCGTGACACTTCTTACTCAACAAGACTCCGGTACCATGTCAATAACCAACTCTACCAAAAGCTCAAGCTTGTGGTTGCGGCCGAAGAAAAATTTTTAAATTCTAACATTCTCTCTGTGAAACACTCTTAACACAACTCACATTTCTCTCCTTAATGGAATAATCCTAAGTAGTTTGTTGATGCGTTTCGGCAGATTCAAGCACGAATGTCTGCATTGAAGATTGTTACATTGAGAGCGGTGATGATCTTGTGGCAGTGAAGAGTGGTTGGGACCAATACGGGATGAAAACAGCCCGGCCAAGCTCAAATGTCATAATTCAGAGGGTTTCGGGCACAACCCCAACATGTTCTGGGGTTGGGATTGGGAGTGAGATGTCTGGGGGTGTCTCAAATGTTGTCATTAAGGACCTGTATATCAGAGATTCGGCAGCTGGGGTTCGGATCAAGACTGACAAAGGGAGAGGAGGGTACATCCGAAACATCACCATTCACAACATCACAATGGAAAGAGTCAAGATTCCCTTAAGGTTCAGCAGAGGCGCCAATGACCACCCCGACGAAGGGTGGGACCCTAAAGCTCTACCAGTAGTGAAGGGCATATCGGTCAGCAATGTTGTGAGTTTGGAAACCAGAAGGGCACCTCTGCTGGAGGGCATAAAGGAAGCACCGTTTGAGGACATATGCATTAAAAATGTTAGCATATTTGGCCTTGCCGCATCAGCTATTACATGGAACTGTGAATATATATCGGGTGCCAGTCATGACGTTTTCCCTTCACCTTGTCCTCAGTTGAAGAGAGATAACTCTACGGCTCCATGTGCTTAAGTTCATTAGATTGGTAAGTACTAACAATTATATGCATCAGAAATGTGTCTGAAAGTATCTCACGAAACATAGGTTGTGTGATTTACATTAAGGAATAGAAAAACATGTTCTGAACTGAAATGGTACGTAAATATTTCTTTCGTAATGCTGAGAGGATTACACACTTCACCATTTCCAGAAAACATTGGAATTGCATTTGTATTTATCCTTACCTTTGCACTCCAATTCCAAGTCGTCGCTGATGAATGGCACTTTCTGCAATTCAAATCATTAAACTGTGTGTTAGGCCTATGTATAAAGACCACATTCTGAGATGCTTTTTGTCAAGAAAATGTGGGATGAAACTTGTTCTTCTTCCTCTGGAGAAGAAAAAGGATCAAAAGGGTTCAAAATAAAATAAAGACCTTTTGTTTGGCAAGGTCTTGGCAGCCAGTGAAGTTTTCAGGAAACTTGCATGTTCCAAACTGAACTGTGTAGGCTCTGGCAAAGTTAGCACCACTTGTGGCCAGTCTCTTCTTGTCATTCAATTCCTATATATTGTTGGGACACAGCAGACTAAATAATAAAACTAATGCAGTCAAAATTAATAACCTTTGACTATTAAGTAAATAAAATTCATATTAGGTTATTGATACAAGGATACTTTTAGTAGATTTATCTGAAAAAGTTTAAACTTTGCAGAAGAAGGAGGTCTAATTAGAAATAACCTTGTTGGTTTTGCTTTTTTCAAGATAGTCCTCCATGATTCCGGCATTTGCAGAAGAGGTGGAGGCAAATAGGGCAGATGCAAGGGCAAGAAGGGCAGCTCTTCTGCCCTTTTCCATTTCGGCAAACATAGGTTTTGCTTCTTGTTTCTCACACTTGACTGTGGGGGGCAGTTTGGAAGAAGTTGAAATTGGGGTTGCCATTGATGATGAGCCATTCCTTGTATTGAACTGAGATGACATGGCGGCATAGCTGCTGCCGCTGCATGCCAGCACACTGGAGTTCACGGCAGCCATTATCCGTGCTTGAAGAAGGAAAATAATGGGATTATCTTTTTAAGAAAAAGACTGGAAAATTAAAACTGATGATCAATTTAGATTGATGGAGAAAATGTGATCTTAGTGCTTGGATCAAATCCTTGGATGAGTTAAGAAAGAGGGGGTGATGTGGGAGTGAGTATAGTCAAGATTTTGGATGAGGTGGGGATTTCCCGTCACTCCCATTGGTCCGTCTCTATATATACATTTCCATTTATTTTTTGTGGTTGTCATAAATATTATCTCTTCCCCAATTATCTTCATATTTTAATTTCTTGTTATTATAAGTAATCTTAAAAATAATATGTATAAAATATGGGAATATTACTCTCTCTCGGCTCAATTTAAATCGTTTGTTTTAGTTTGCAATGTTTGATTGATGTTATTTTCAATACAATTCAGTTGAGAATTGGAGTGAAATTAAAAACAAAATTTACATTTAAAAAAAATTACATCAAAAGCTTATAAAACAAGAAGTGACATTAATTTATTATTTTATTAAATGAATAATAAAAATAAGGAAAGAAGTAACATTCAATCCCCTTTGCTCAACTTGAACATTAACATGAAGTGTTCAAGATTGAGGGCCTCATTAGCTTGACTTGATGGGAAACAGATGAGATAACTAGCTAAGTATCTATGGGAGTTGGGAACGAATTGGCCTGGGAGCAACTCATGAGAATTCAGGTAATCTATGATTAATTCCTTTTAACTAAAGGGAATCCAAACCCTAGTATCATGGAGAAGAGGTGAACAGTGAAGAACCGTAGAGGCTAAAAGCATGTTATCTTCAACTTATTCTCGTTACTTAATACTTATTCCTTTCGTTTCTAAAAGATTGCCACAATTTAACTTTTTTGATCAAATAATAGCACCATTTCACCGCAAATTATGAAAAAGGTTTATTGAGTTATAATGTAAATTTAGTAAAATTGGGTTTATTTTAAAATATAGTTTTGAAAAAACAAATTTGTATAATAATTAATTCGTGGTCAAAAGGTGTCATAGTTTGACTAAAAAAGTCAAACTGTGGCAATCTTTTAGGAACGGGGGAAGTATTTTTGTGGGAATCAATCAGATCAAATAAAACAACTTTAAATAAAACTACAATCAGATCATATCAGAACTTATTCCATCATATCAGGTGAAGAGAATAAGTCCTAAGTATTTACATGAACAATACATGAATCTTATTTTGGGAGAAGAAGTAATTGTAAAAGCTATGGAATCTCCTTAGCCAACTCAGACCAAAGGCTTGCACACATAAGGTCTAAACACTGTTGAATTCCAGTGAGTTAATATGACATTGAAGGCCTGAAGTTGATGTGTATTTTCTTCTTAAGTTTGAACAAAAAATGAGTATACATTTTTTTAAAAAAAAAACTTCGCAACTGTGTTTTTCGAATCACAATGTTTTCTTTTAAAAATCACGTTTTTTAACTACAAAGCACCTTTTCGTAATTGCCAAATGCTCTCAAAAGTCACGTTTTTTTATAACTATAGAGCACTTGGAGACACCAGAAACTAGCAATAGTCTCAAAAGATGAGAAAAAAAGCATTTCATTTATGGGAGTGAGGAAATGGAATTCAAGAATAGTTGTACATTTACAATCTTTAACAGCCCGGAATAAATACTGCAAGCGTAAAAACATATTTTTGCATTAAAAGAAAGGAGCATTTGTAAATTGTAATACGATGTCGTATTGGTCCAGTACTCCAGCCAAAAACTTGGTCTGCAACAATGGTTAGGCTACTCATAAGAAAATACATGCCGTCTGAGCTTGGTTGTGCATTTCCATTGAGTACTTTAAAGGAGTTCAAATTTGATAATGAAAAAAGGATAGGGCAGAAAAGGGCTTCAAATACTTTCCGTGTTCTGTTAAAGGGCTTCAATTCCAATAATGGAAAAAGAATAGGGCAGAGAAAGAACCAAGTTGACATCATGCTGGCACATATGGGAAGATTAAAGAAAGCAGCACGCACGAACCACAGGAGAGAATCTAAACGTATAACTCACAGGCACAGCAACCTTTTTGCACGTTTTCTATTAGCAGCCATAAGTTCTACAAGTGATGGAAGAGGCTGAGGCACTGATGCATTCATGGACCGGTAAAACCTTCTCATGCTTGCACTAAAATTGTTTGAGGATCCATTTGGCACGGCAGAATAAACACTTCTTTCATGATGCTCTTTTATATCATCTGTTGGCTTGCATTCTGGTTCAAACACATTTGAACCTTGTTTTTCATCCAAGCAACTCTCTTTTTCCTCCTCCTTGGTAACAATCTCTGAGGATCCATTAGATTCTTCGGATTTGTTTAAATCTGTCATAGAACATTTAGAGCACTCCAACTCATTCTTGCCACCCCCCTCAGTAACAGTATTCAGAAATACACATTCTTTTTTTACTTCAATGGTGTAAGCGGGACCTACAACCCCGTGTCTAGCTCGACCAAATAATGTAACGGGTGGCTTCTTCCTTGGAGCAGAAATATGCTGCTGCAACTGCCGACTTGGCGATACTGCCAGCTGGGTCAAGATCTCAATATTACCATCAGAAGTGACTCCAGATGGGCTGGAAGCTTCTTCCAGCATGCCTTGAGATGATGGGCTCACATCAATCTCCAATAGTTTCAAAAACGGATCGTCCATGTAACGCTTCCAGTTAAAGCAATGCTTCTTCACGTAATCCAGTTCCATAGCCCTGCAACAGGGTGTTGTTGACACAACCCATCTGGGTGCAAGAATTTGCAGGGCCCACTCCAGTTCTTCCCTGGAAGAGTGTATTGAATAACAGACATGCCAGACTCCGTGCATATCTCTCACTGCTTGATCAAATCTTTCCTTTTTCTGATTTTCCATTTGTGAACACCCTTCGTCGCCACATGCATACCACTGTGATGAAGCACGGATTATAAGAGGTTCGTGTTGGAGATTAGCCCGAGCTTCTGCAATCTTGGCTTCTGCTCTATCATACAGCCCGTGGAATCCATCAAACAATTGGAAACGAGACGTTGGGTCTTGAGAGAGAGAATTTCAGGCACCAAGAGTTCCATAGATTGGGAACATTTTGGGATTTTTGCTTTATCAATATATATCTTACAGCCAAATGTTCTGGATACACTCACCAGGATTTCCTCGTGTCCAAGAAGATCGCAAGTCAAATACACAGTTGGGGCATCAGGATGTTTCCATATACAATTGATCACCTGTTTTTTTAAGGTAAAATTGGAGTTTGCAGACGAAAAGTAAATTTCAAAAAAAAAAAAAAAGGCATGACAGGAGCTTGTAACAAATGCAAGGAGAGCACAAATTCAAAGCAATTGGCCTATTCATGACTAGTTATTATAAGAATCCAACAGAAAATTGGTCAGGAAAGGAAAACGAAGACAAAAGAAGATCAAGAAGGATAGGAGCCTCTAATGGAACAAGAACAAAATTATACCTGCTGGATTGCTGATTCCTTAGTGGGCATTCTCAATGAAAACTTGCCAAAAGTGCAATCCAGGAAAACACAATCGAGCGGACACCTAGGCTCTCTTCCTTTCTTCCCTACATACTTCTCGGGCAGACTTCTCAAACACTCAATAGTAAGTCTGCAATCTCCAGTATGCAGAATGTTGCCAAATTTGCCTTCAAACAAGAACATAACAGCACCTGAAGATTCAAAAAAAAAAACAAAAAATAGTTCAATGAAACAAAAATTGAAGAACCGAGCAAGGAAACTAAGACAAAGATATGAACTTTTAAGCAGTACGAACACAGCTCCCAAACTTAAGACATTAAACACATTCAAGAACCAATAAAGATGTTCGTGTAAGTGGTAAAATTAATTATAGGACTCCCTTACCAGGACAGTGATTGGCATCAAAGGCGGTGACGGTAAATCCACCATTGGGATCCTCAATCTCCATACTCTGCCCAACCTCGATTCTCACAAAGATTGACCTGTCAAGCTGTAGAGGGATGGATAACAAAGAATCAAAGCAAGTACTTAACCAAAGAGATGAAGAAGAAGAAGAAGAAGAAGAAAAATGGAATTAGAGAGACCTGAGGGTAATGTTGAAGGACAATGGACTGGGTGATAAGGGTGCAGTAGATTGGAGAAGAGGCGTAAGCGCAGATCCCTTGAGTGTGGTCTTTGTGGGCGTGAGTGAGGAAATGGTGCCTCTTCCGGTTCGAATTAGGCGACCATGTGTCCACCGAGAACGGCAATCCTTTCAGCATCTCAATCGTCATACCCTCAGATTGTTTCCGAATGATAGAGAGGGGTTGGAATCTGGGGCATTAGGGAAGAGGGAGATCACATTTGATTGCGGCATTTGGGAGGGAAAATTGATGAAACTGTTCCTATTTCCCTAAGTCTCTAAGTAAATCCCCCATCCCGCCCCGACCTCCCCTCACACCCTTCAATTGCACCTTGCAAATTAATTTTGACTTTGGAATAGAGATTGACGGAAGAAAGATTGGGAATAATTGTTTTACTTATAAAGAAGTCCCTAGGACTAAATGGCAAAGTCAGATCAATTTTGACTTTATTTAAATGAGATGGCAAAAAAACCACGTGTCCAACTATGACTAGAACAAGGGTGGAGTGTTTCAAAACACTCTCTTCGCTTGGTGCACCTAAGGTATGGGTGAGCGTGGTATGATATGGTACGGTATTTGGTTCGTATCGATACCGCACCAAATATTTTGATTCAGTATCGGATTTTACATCGTACCGATACCGATCCCGAAGTATCAGTTCGGTACGTATCTAGTTTACATTATGAAATGTATGTTGGAATGCATGAGTTCAACCCTTTCTGTATTGTTAAGTGTTGACTCACAGGTTTTGATAATTGACAAACACAATTTATTCAAGTCAAGATCAAAGTGCTACAATGACAAACACGAAGACTTGAAGTGCCATTCCTTGAAGTATTCAAGAAGGTGCACAGGATTTTTGTGGAGTCCGAGACGCGTTCGGAGCGCCTAACAGAGGACTCGGAGGAGTAGAAGATTTCCGAAGACTTTTTATTTATTTGAGTCGTAGGAAGATTTGTAAGGATGACAAAAATATCTTCTCTCCAAAATTATTTTTATGAGAGTTAAAATAAAAATTATATTTATTTTTGGAGTCAGTTGAAAAATCATTTTAGCTGTTCAAAATAATTCTATTGAGTCAGTCACAAAAGGTGTGCCAAACATTTATCAAATATTTATTTTGATATTATAAAATATTTTTGGTAAGCAAAAATATTTTATTCAAATATTTTTCGTGTACATCGTTTGACACACAAAATATTTTTGGGACTCAATTTCTACACAAAATTCAATATTTAACTCAAATTTTGAATTTGAATTAATTCTCTCAACCCATTTGATTTGTTTGTTTTTGGGAGCCTTTTGATATTCAAATTGTTGTCTAAAACAATTCATTAAGCTCCAAATTTCCATCCTACCCGCACACATGTCTTGGGTCCGAATGTTTGAGGGATGTTTGTCAGTGGATCGATCCATCTGCTAGGATCGATCATCATCGTGGTTTGTGCTCAGGGCTTTGGATCGATCCATCTCCCTGGATCGATCCCCCGAAGGCTTGCAAAAATTCTTTTCCGGATTTTTGGTCCCGTTGGATCGATCCCTTGCCCTGGATCGATCCCCCGAAGTTTTGACAGAAATCTATTTTTGATCCTTTACTCTAGGTGATCGATCCTCTCCCCTTGGATCGATCCCCAACTGCTTTTTATCTGTCAAAATCAGCCTTCCCCACTTCCAACGGATTTATTTCTTTTTCTTCTATTTAAACACTCTTCCTTGGTTTGTTTTCTTAACAAGAAACACTCCAATACTCCCCATTCTTGAGGTGTTAATCCTCCATCAATCTTTCCTCAAATTTATATTATTTTGAGAGAAAACTATTTGTTTTTAAGAGAGTGTTTTGTCATCCATTAGAGCTTTAATCATTTCTCTTATCTACTCTTTTGAGAGCTTTTGTTGAGAGGTTGAAGAAGTTTGTTCTTCTTGTTGTTCAAGGCTTATGTGATTTAAGTCTTGGTTGTGAAGTCTTGTAGAGGGTATATCTACGAGCGGTTGTGTCGAGGCTTGTGGGATTCAAGTTCTCGAGTTGTAAAACGGTTTGTTAAGCACCCGTAAGCTTAAAGGAAGTAGTGGTAGCCTCGAGAGAGTCTCTCGGGGAACTGGACTAGCCACGAGGTGGTGAACCAGTATACATCGGTGTGTTCTTTGCCTTCTCTATTTTATTTCCGCTGCACTTACGTTTATATTTTTAATACTGCGAAAATCGGCAATCATTCTCAACAACTCTATTCACCCCCCCTCTAGAGTTGCACGCCTTGTCTAACAATTGGTATCAGAGCAGGTATCTCTAACGCTCTTTGTGACGTTTGAGAAAACGATCAAATTTTTTTTGAGAATGTTGAACGCAGGGATAGGAGAAGGGCAATCCACCGTAAGGCTGCCATTTTTTGATGGAACAAATTACTCATATTGGAAGGAGCGAATGAGGATATTTGTTCAATCAAATGACTTCAAAATTTGGCTTGCTATCAAGAATGGAGATAGCTTTCCGATGAAGAAGGTCGGCGATACACTCATCCCGAAGGACGAGGATGAATACGATGAAGCCGACTTCAAGAAGGCTCAATTGAATGCCACCGCCATCAACTTCTTGTATTGTGCGGTCAACGCCAACGATTATCAAAAGATATCTCGTTGCCAAACCGCTAACCAAATGTGGAACAAGCTCATGATCACATACGAAGGTACGCCTCAAGTCCGTGAATCAAAAATTGATTTACTAACCCATGAATATGAGTTATTTGCTATGAAAGAGAACGAACTTGTGGAGGACATGTTTGGAAGATTTTCAAACATCGTCAACGACCTTGATATGCTTGGAAAGACGCTCACCGACAAAGAGTTATTGAGGAAAATCCTGCGAAGTCTTACCAAGGAATGGGAGTCAAAGGTAAACTCCATTTACGAAGGCCGGGATTACAACGTTATCACATACGACGGTCTTCGAGGTAACCTTATCACTTACGAAACAAATCATCTTTCTCATACTCTTGATGTTAAGAAGAGAACGGGAATTGCTTTTAAAGCATCTTCTTCTCAAAAAGTAGAGATTGATGATTCGGATTCGGATAGTGATAGTGATAACGATTCTAGCACTTCTTGTGATATTTTGGTTGAATGTTTTAACGAGTTTTTGAAACATGAGCTAAACAAGAGCAAGAAGAAAAACACCCCAAGGTGTCATAAGTGCGGAAAGCTTGGCCACCGAAAATTTGAGTGCCCGAAGCTCAAGAAAATGAGCAAACAAGATGAATTTGCGTATTTTTCGTGGAGCTATGATCAACCTTCTAAAGACGATTCCCTCATCGGCGTTGAAGAACAAGATGGGTGGTCGGGCACGTGACACACTTGAAAGGCGTTGCTTGAAGACTACAAATTTTGTAGTGGATGCTCCAAGCACTTAGCCAAAGAGATTGCATCAAAGGGGAGTGATTACATTTTTTTTACATTATATGTTACTTTTAAGATTTATTTGTGATAATTGTTATTTGGGGAATATACATAGGATGTTTTGCATATAGTAAGGGAGAATTTATTGCTATATGTGTTAATCTTTTTGTATGCTTTAATTTTTTAAGGGGAGGTAGCCTACTTTAAGGGGGAAGTTTTTTATTTCCTAGAAATGCATGATTTTAGGGGGAATGTGATTTTTCTTAATTGTTTAGATTTTTTTCTCCCCGGAATGCATGAGTTCTTTTGTTGCATTATTTTTGATAATGCCAAAAGGGGGAAGAGTATAGGAGTATATGCTTTAATTTGTTATTTGTTGATAGCATATCCTCCATGTGTTTGTCATTATCAAAAGGGGTAAATTGTTGGAATGCATGAGTTCAACTCTTTCTGTGTTGTTAAGTGTTGACTCATAGGTTTTGATAATTGACAAACACAATTTATTCAAGTCAAGATCAAAGTGCTACAATGACAAACACGAAGACTTGAAGTGCCATTCATTGAAATATTCAAGAAGGTGCACAGGATTTTTGTGGAGTCCGAGACGCGTTCGGAGCGCCTAACGGAGGACTCGGAGGAGTAGAAGATTTCCGAAGACTTTTTATTTATTTGAGTCGTAGGAAGATTTGTAAGGATGACAAAAATATCTTCTCTCCAAAATTATTTTTATGAGAGTTAAAATAGAAATTATATTTATTTTTGGAGTCAGTTGAAAAATCATTTTAGCTGTTCAAAATAATTCTATTGAGTCAGTCACAAAAGGTGTGCCAAACATTTATCAAATATTTATTTTGATATTATAAAATATTTTGGTAAGCAAAAATATTTTATTCAAATATTTTTCGTGTACATCGTTTGACACACAAAATATTTTTGGGACTCAATTTCTACACAAAATTCAATATTTAATTCAAATTTTGAATTTGAATTAATTCTCTCAACCCATTTGATTTGTTTGTTTTTGGGAGCCTTTTGATATTCAAATTGTTGTCTAAAACAATTCATTAAGCTCCAAATTTCCATCCTACTCGCACACATGTCTTGGGTCCGCATGTTTGATGGATGTTCGTCAGTGGATCGATCCATCTGTTAGGATCGATCATCATCGTGGTTTGTGCTCAGGGCTTTGGATCGATCCATCTCCCTGGATCGATCCCCCGAAGGCTTGCAAAAATTCTTTTCCGGATTTTTGGTCCCGTTGGATCGATCCCTTGCCCTGGATCGATCCCCCGAAGTTTTGACAGAAATCTATTTTCGATCCTTTACTCTAGGTGATCGATCCTCTCCCCTTGGATCGATCCCCAACTGCTTTTTATCTATCAAAATCAGCCTTCCCCACTTCCAACGGATTTATTTCTTTTTCTTCTATTTAAACACTCTTCCTTGGTTCGTTTTCTTAACAAGAAACACTCCAATACTCCCCATTCTTGAAGTGTTAATCTTCCATCAATCTTTCCTCAAATTTATATTATTTTGAGAGAAAACTATTTGTTTTTAAGAGAATGTTTTGTCATCCATTAGAGCTTTAATCATTTCTCTTATGTACTCTTTTCAGAGCTTTTGTTGAGAGGTTGAAGAAGTTTGTTCTTCTTGTTGTTCAAGGCTTATGTGATTTAAGTCTTGGTTGTGAAGTCTTGTAGAGGGTATATCTACGAGCGGTTGTGTCGAGGCTTGTGGGATTCAAGTTCTCGAGTTGTAAAACGGTTTGTTAAGCACCCGTAAGCTTAAAGGAAGTAGTGGTAGCCTCGAGAGAGTCTCTCGGGGAACTGGACTAGTATACATCGGTGTGTTCTTTGCCTTCTCTATTTTATTTCCGCTGCACTTACGTTTATATTTTTAATCCTGCGAAAATCGCCAATCATTCTCAACAACTCTATTCACCCCCCCCTCTAGAGTTGCACGCCTTGTCTAACA